CGTAACAAGTTTACTTACTGTCAATATTAATTAGTATTTTATTCGGTAAGCAGGTGGAAATACTTCTGACCATAACTTATTATTATCTGTGTGTCGCGTTGATCTGTTAGCGTACGTCAGGTCTTTGTGATCGATATATTACATCGATCGACCTTTATCCTCGTAGCCTACAGTGTACTGACGTTTCTTCCTATGCATTGTGGGTATGTTCGTTTCGTTTTAGATATTTTATATGCTTCCGCTTTTTATGTAAACCCGTTCTTGTCACCACAAACGAATCACCGTTTGTAAGCGTCATCCGTAGCACTTCCGTACCGTTTGCGTAACACTTCCGTACCGTTTGCGTAGCACTTGCGCACCATTTCCGTACCGTTTGCGTAGCACTTGCGTACCATTTCCGTACCCTTTGCGTAGCATTTCCGTACCGTTTGCGTAGCACTTCCGTACCGTTTGCGTCCAAGGTGGAACAGCGAACGTGCATGGGTCTGTATTTCAACCAATAAACATACAAAATGATGTAAGAGTCACTCCCTTTGTATATGCTTACTGAAAGAATATAAAATGTAATTTGTGTAAGATTTATCTCAATTAAGAATATATGCTAGCGTTAACACAATTAAGAATTTTCCCATTTCAATATACGTTGTTTACGAATAAAACCTGTTTTCTTCATATTTTTTTTTAACATTATCATTTCATTTACTAAAACGTCGGGCTTACTTATGCCGTTATCAAGTTCAAATCTTGTTTACACGTCAAAAATGTCATTACACACTCACAGAGTAATTACAAAATTTACCTGAAAAAAACAGTATTAAGTTAAATTTAAAGCAAATATACTGAAGCGCCTATACTGGAATTTAAAATAGACAAAACACTACGGAAACTGAAACTGTACAGAACAAAAACACATCACGAACCTTAACAACAACAAAATATATTGGTCTGATGTTGTTTATAGTAAAAACCGTTTTAAATTACACGGTGGACGTCACAGTCTTTAACTTGGAGCAATTTGTCGTTTCTACAATCTGGTTGTTTTAACTTATCCCAATAAATATCAATTCATTAATCATTTGACAAGTGTATTTTTGATTGGTCCAGTACGTGCTCGTCTGTTAAACTGTTAAAATCTCTTAAACAGGTAAATCAAACCTGGAAATCTTACCTGCACATAGCCGTAAACAACTCGGAGTAGGACAGATTCCCCAGGGCCATACGTTTTAAATAGCCCATCGTAGATTTGGGGTTCAACTTCAGCGGGTACCTCATCATACTGAATGGCTGTAACCCAATCCAAACAAAGATGGCCCGGACTTTTACAATGTCTGATGGAAAAGGACCTGTCAGCTCCTCCACCAGCGCCTCTAGCATTGGATTTGGTTCAGGTTTTATCTTCAAAGAAAATCAGAACAAACACACACAAGTATTACAGTAAGATTATAATGTGACTCGAACCCTATAAAACCTGGTAAATTGTAGTGTAATTGTAATGACCTTTCACTACAGTTTTTTTTTATATAAAATATAAGGACCTACACATCGACAATACAACACCGATACACACACAGTGTACGCAATATAACCTTATGTTGTGTTATAGTGCTTCCTGCTAAAAAAAAAACGTTTAATACAGATAAGACAATACCGAGTGCGCATGGGCGTCAGGTTCTAGCATATCTTCTTCAGTGAACACATCCGACTTTTTGTTTGATGGAGGAGCTATACTGGGATAACCGTCTTCAACTGTATTCGGCATGATGGGCTGAAGGATAAACATATATTTTTAACATTTATTGGATGTAGATGTAATAACTAGTATAATATCGATGCTTTACTGTGATGATTAACTCATCATTAGACATATATGATCCCTTCAAATTTTCATTATACAAAAATATATAAATCTTAAAACGATGACGGAGAACCGTTACTATCATCAAAGAGATTTCATTCAATGTTTAACTTTCGTTATTAATGTATGTTCATATTGTTTGCTTTGACTTTATCTGTTTATTTATTAAGATCTACACATAAACTATTTATTTCCTATTATCATGCATGACTTCAGATTTGAAATAAGTCAATGTATCATTTAACCACATACATCCTTTTCCTTGTAGTTTTTAAATGCCTCCACATCCAATCTCCCGTCGTCCTCTTTGGCCTTTGGCGGACCGTCACCATTAGCAGCGGTGGCCTTTGCCGGAGCAGGAGGCTCCTCAGTAGATGAAGATGATCCCATTGTAGCCTTGATCTAACAATACAAGAAACTGCGATTTTAATGAATTGTGTAAATGATTATTATAAATGTGCTAACTTGTATAAGATCATTGTTGCAATTGGAAGCAATTTCATATAGACTTCAAACTGTAAATATCTGTCTATATGATTATGAATATCATATATATTCATACTTATTGGCCTTTATTAATATCATAAAATAACAAATGACGGCGTATTGATAAACCATTCTATAAACCTCCGTGACACGCTAATGGGCAGTGTATCTCTATGGGACAAGTTAAATATTTACACCTTAGTAATACATCCTTTATACTACTAATATCATTTAGATTTATATATTAGCATTGATAATAATTGCCAAAAGTGTATGATACAAACGGTTAATCAAATAAATCAATTCATATCCAATACATTATATCTATTGGTATAAAATATCTCGGTATAAAGACTCTATTATGGTGTTATGAATGCATTAAAGAAACTATTTGAGTACAAGTATTATGTCGTTCAGGGCGGTAGATCAATCGCCTAAGAGCTCCCCATTGAATTGCACACACCGAATTCTTTGTGCAGAATAAATCGTCTTGTAAAACAATTTAAATAATTTTGTTCAAATAATTATACAAATACCACGATTACCCGAAATATGAAAAGGAAACGCTAGTACCTGAATGAGTAAAAACTATTACCCTTTTGAAAATCAACATTACTATATAAAATCTAAAACAAAATCAAAAACGTCAATGTGAGAGGTCAACGATAATAACTTCATAATATGCTAAGATGTGCGGTAATACAGATGTGGTACATATCGGCCTGATTGAGATGTACAAGACATAGGTATATGGCCAAACGAATTAATTACATTCATAAACGTGTTGAAATTTAAGCATGAAACTATGTTAATCCAATGCTAATATGTCGGCTAGACCGTGATTTAAAACATGTGTTTACAAGAAGTAAAGTTTGGAATTCATTACATATTCAAATTCTTAATAACAACGAGTTGCTCAAGAGATAATTATTATCAAGTCCATTCAAATATGACAAATAATTCAATATCCGTTCGACAGCTATACAGAATGTATAAGTATTTTGTCAGAAACGCTAATCACTCACCTTGCCAGTCACGTGTTACATGTAAAAAAATCCCTTTTATTATATTCCATTGTTGTAAAACAAAAACATAATTTTTAACATGTTTCCAATGATCAAATGTCGCTCATCTAAACGTACATGTTTGTTCAGACAACCAACATAGTTATGTTATTCCTGAATCACACACGAAGGTAATTTTGAGCTCCTTAAATTTTTCTCAAGCGTTTATGCATGGAAGTATGTCAAAATCTCTCTTGTCAACAGAGAATACGTTGCAGTGTAAGTACTGTTCATGGGACAATGATTTATCAATGTACAAGTCCACTTTTGTTTACGGTTTGTACTTCAAATAATAACAAACTATCTAATACTTTATTCAAACAACATTAGATAGAAACTGTCGATTTAAAGCTGAACAAATTCTCAATATGCTATTTTAGAAAATTATCGCCTGTTCAGTGATCAGAAAATCAGCTTAAACTATTTGGTAATTACAACAAAGGCGAGTCCTGATCAAAGGTTAGTCAGGGATTTATTTAGTAATGAACAACGGAAGGACTTCGCTCACAACATAATACACACTGTTTACAGAACAATGTTAAGCCACTAAAAAGTCACGAGCCGATATATACATGTAGCTTTACAAGATGTTGGTGTAATCCACTAATCCACGACTAATACAAATTAAAGGTCACACAACGTAGGTCAAGGCAATCGATGAGTAATTGATATGTTCGTCCGTTAACTAGACGATGCGGTATATTTGCACAGATATATGTATATGTCAGGAGCTATTCTAGTATAACCACGTGACGCATGATCAATGACATACGTATTTCAACACAGGTCGTAAGTTTTAATTAATACGTATAAAGTCCGAAAGAAAACCAGCATTGATACTCCTCTAATATGTGATCAAAATCAATACATTATGTGAATCATAACAAAAATTGTAATGCTGCACCTTATGGTATAAGTGAAGTATTAATATTTGAAAAATGAATAATTCGATTTCTAAACATTCAAATTAAGTTGACTACGGATTTCATTTCTATTACCTGTTAATTAAGACTATATTTGGTTCTCGGTTTTTTTCTGAAATTTGTCATAAAATAGCTCATCAGATATATCTCCGATCATTACCACAATAGGGACGTGTAGAGAATGAGGCACACATGACAATGCATTGTACTAATGGTTTGGATCAGATTTGTATCGCATATCCTGTTTTATCAGCGATATTGTGACGTTGTATTAAGTTTAAAAGGTCAAATTAAAAAATAGCACTACCTGTCTAGATTTAGAAATAACGTCAGGTACAGGTGAAGGTCGATTGCGAATCAGCAAATGAGTACTTGCTTGCAAAATACTGTTTCATTTTTTCTTCATTTGTATGATTTGTTTGTTATTTGCAGAGACTGTACTGCATCATTTCCCGATATAATGTAAAGTTAATTGACATAATAGGTAAATATATAACTTTTGTAATTATTTTAGTACCAAACATATGTATTTAAATTTACATAATTCCAAAACATTATCCTAAAAAAATACGCATGTGGAAAAACCTGTAAAGAAGAAAACAAAAATATACCGCACAGTGAAGGAGCAAGGTCAAATCCAAACTCAATGGCAAGATAGGCACCAAAAGAAAAGGGAAGTCAACATTAAATAGCGGTTATTATATGACTTATATGAAAATAACCATTATTAAACCAACTGAAGATGGCATATTGTATAATCTAAAGACGGCACTTAACGTGGGTTATTGTGTATTATTTTTATTGTTAATACAAGTAGTATTAACAGACAGCTAAACATATCATATATACAATATCTTAAACAACAAATTACGGAAACGGAATAGACAGGTTTCCGGAATAAATAGATAACATTAATAAGAGATATACTGTTGTTGTAAGGTTTACAAGTATACATAGCAAATTAAAGTTTCAGATAACGTTTTTGGCTTTACAACGATATTTATCAATAACGGCAAGGCAGTTCTGTCGGACTTGTAAATTATATTTAACTACCAACTAATGGTAAATTGAGACGATATAGGATTTTCAACTTATAATACAGAATAGTTTAATGTTTACTAGTAATCTATTCTATAATCTATCCTAATGATGTAAAAGTACAAAGACATGGACATGGATATTATTTACAAGAAATGGACACATGTCATTCATATAAGATTATCATGTGCTGTAAATATTTCTGAAAATGTACGTATAATTATCTGAAACCGATACTATTTATTGCATTGTTAATAAAGTAATACTTGCATTGTAGTTTTGTTATGAGTTTTATTCTGAGTTGTATCTTTTAATGTAAAAAAATAACCTAAATAAATGTACATACATATTTGAGTTGGTTGTTATTTGTTTTGTTTGCTATATAGGACGACATAAGTTATCATATATTTGCTTTAAAAAATAATGTAAATGAATCACTGAATCTGCCATGTGGCATTAAAGGATCAGTTGTCTTTCATTCCGAAAACACGTTCCGTCACATCTGTAATCTGTAACAGAAAAAATATCCTACTTTAGTGCGCATGTATATATTACGTTACTGTAGTAGTTATTTCCTTTCTAATTAGAAGCCTGTCTTACATACATAGACATTCGGACTAGATTACTTTATAGATGGCACATGTGAAAAGTAAACGTCAATGTTTAACACATATTATATCTCAGTTGTGTGAGCGGGTGAATCTCTGAGTGCCAACATTTTACATTTACTTGTAGGGATACTTGTTTTGATAGGAATTTTAGTCTTTTTCTTAAAAAGTGTCTGAGATCAAATTGTCTGTTGTCAAATTATAGAAATGAAATGGATTGATAAATTCTTAAGTTTCTATCTTGATAGGGAACTTATCTCTTCAACATGCATTTGGCTGTTTTTCTGCTTTATTTTGGTTTTTGTTTTGACATTTTATAAATGAACTTTTAGGCATTTACATTTCTTTTAGAAAACACCAAAAAAAATCATCGGCGCTTCATATGGGCTTCACAAGTTCAGTTTCGTCATACATGTATGTCAGGTCCAGCATACTCTGCCGATTGAATTACATAACTGTGAAATACCTATATATATAGCTATATCCACCTATAATTTATACCTGTATTCAGCTAAACAAAATAGGTTTTTTTTTATAGAAATCAAGCAAAGTCACTGAAGGTTTATTGTTAATTTTCATAACTGTCAATTTTCATTTTTTTTATTCTTTTATTTGATGTTTTTTGTAATAAAATTTCAATAAAATCTTCTATTAACTTTGTATCGTGGTGTTTGTAAGAGAAAATAACATGAAAATAGCTCAAAAGACCTATTCTGAATAGGTCGATATACAAATTGTATTTCTATACCTCTATATAGCTCAGTTGCCAGAGTTTACTGGACCTGTATATTACCTCATTCTTTTTAAAGTTTATTTTTTTGAAGATTTTTAAAATGAGTACACAACGTTTGAATAAAATATAGAATATAAGGAAACACTTTTCAGTGCTTACTCTAGTAATAAGATAAAAATGGTTTGGACCTATTATGGCAAAAATATCTGAGAGAATGTGTTGCATAAAATAAAGGTTAATATCGAGTTTGCACAGGTGACATGCAGGTTTTATGAAACAGCATATACTTGACTTCCCATTGTTTCATAAAACAACACCTGCCTATTGTTAGTAAATATGTTGGCACTTGGAGAACACCCAGTGAGAACGTGCAATGTGCAAGTTGTGTTTCTTGTGGTGAGTGGGGTGTGTATACATATAATTTTTAGACTGTATATTTAATTAATGTACGTGTACATGTATCGTGTCTGTCGTTTATACGTAACATATACGTTATGAATCTTTATGGTAGTTGTCGCATAAGTAAATGCATCTGAATGTTGTATACATTAAATTACAATTGTTGTATTCCTCCTTATGTGTGCTCTTGATTTATGTACTGACTGTTAGTTATCGTTACACGCTGACAATATATGCAGAAATGTATAGTAGAAAGGAAACTAGTATCTTCAAACAATGGCATAATGTATTCCCATAATCAAATTACGATTAATAATTATCCCATTAGACAAGTCTTGAAGAGTTGTCATCTGGTTCAACGGTACAAAGTACCCACGTCTGTAAAATAGGTATAGCCAGGTACAATTCTCATCACCTACTCAAGCACTACCTCCAATACGTACCCACACATAGAATGTCCCTACTCCAGCACTACCTCCAATACGTACCCACACATAGAACGTCCCTACTCCAGCACTACCTCCAATCCGTTACCACAAATAAAACGTCCCTACTCCAGCACTACCTCCAATACGTACCCACACATAGAATGTCCCTACTCCAGTACTACCTCCAAAACATACCCACAAATATAACGTCCCTACTACAGCACTACCTCCAAAACGTACCCACACATAGAACGTCCCTACTCCAGCACTACCTACAATACATACCCACACATAGGACGTCCTTACTCCAGCATAACCTCCAACACGTACCCACACATAGAACGTCCCTATTCCAGCACTACCTACAATACATACCCACACATAGGACGTCCTTACTCCAGCATAACCTCCAACACGTACCCACACATAGAATGTCCCTACTCCAGCATTACTTCCAATACGTTCCCAAACATGGAACGTCCCTACTCCAACACTACCTCTAATACGTTATCACACATGGAACGTCCCTATTCCAGCACTACCTCCAATACGTACCAACACAAGGAACTCCCTACTCCAGCACTACCTCCAATACGTACCCACACATAAAACGTACCTACTCAAGCATTACCTCCAACACGTACCACATATAGACTATTCCTACTCCAGTACTACCTTCAATACATTTCCACACATAGAACGTCCCTACTCCAGCACTACCTCTAATACGTACTCACACATAGAATGTCCCTACTCCAGCACTACCTCTAATACGTACCAACACATAGAATGTCCCTCCTCCAGCACTCCCCCCAATACATACCAACACATAGAACGTCCCTACTCTAGCACTACCTCCAATACGTACCCACACAAAGAATGTCCCTACTCCAGCACTACCTCCAATACGTACCCACACATAGAACGTCCCAACTCCAGCACTACCTCCAATACGAACCCAGACATAGAATGTCCCTACTCTAGCACTACCTCCAATACGTACCCACACATAGTATGTCCCTACTCCAGCATTACCTACAAAACATACCAACACATAGGAAGTCCTTACTCCAGCATTACCTCCAACACGTACCCACACATCGAATGTCCCTACTCCAGCATTACTTCCAATACGTACTCCAGCACTACCTCTAATACGTTACCACACATGGAACGTCCCTATTCCAGCACTACCTCCAATACGTACCCTGACATAAAACGTCCCTACTCCAGCACTACCTTCAATACGTACCAACACAAGGAACTACCTACTACAGCACTACCTCCAATATGTACCCACACATAGAATGTCACTACTCCAGCACTACCTCAAACACGTTACCACACATAGAACGTCCCTACTTAAGCACTTCCTCCAATACGTACCCACACATAGAATGTCCCTACTCCAGCACTACCCCCAATACATACCAACGCATAGAACGTCCCTACTCCAGCACTACCTTCAATACGTACCCACACATAGAATGTCCCTACTCTGGCACTACCTCCAATACGTACCCACACAAAGAATGTCCCTAATCCAGCACTACCTCCAATACGTACCCACACATAGAACGTCCCTAATCCAGCACTTCCTCCAATACGTACCCACACATAGAATGTCCCTACTCCAGCACTACCTCCAATACGAACCCACACATAGAATGTCCCTACTCTAGCACTACCTCCAATACGTACCACACATAGAATGTCCCTACTCCAGCACTACCTCAAACACGTTACCACACATAGAACGTCCCTACTCTAGCACTTCCTCCAATACGTACCCACACATAGAATGTCCCTACACCAGTACTACCTCCAATACATACCCACACATAGAACGCCCCTACTCCTGCACTACCCCAATACATACCAACACATAGAACGTCCCTACTCCAGCACTACCTCTAATACGTACCAACACATAGAATGTCCATTCTCCAGCACTACCCCCAATACATACCCACACATAGAACGGCCCTACTCCAGCACTACCTCAAACACGTTACCACACATAGAACGTCCCTACTCCAGCACTACCTCCAATACGTACCACACATAGAATTCCCTACTCCAGCACTACCTCAAACACGTTACCACACATAGAACGTCCCTACTCTATCACTTTCTCCAATACGTACCCACACATAGAATGTCCCTACTCCAGCACTACCCCCAATACATACCCACACATAGAACGTCCCTACTCCAGCACTACCTCCAATACGTACCCACACAAAGAATGTCCCTAATCCAGCACTACCTCCAATACGAACCCACACATAGAACGTCCCTAATCCAGCACTACCTCCAATCCGTACCCACACATAAAATGTCCCTACTCCAGCACTACCTCCAATACGAACCCACACATAGAATGTCCCTACTCTATCACTACCTCCAATACGTACCCACACATAGAACGTCCCTACTCCAGCACTACCTCTAATACGTACCCAAACATAGAACGTTCCTACTCTAGCACTACCTCCAATATGTACCCACACATAGAATGTCCCAACTCCAGCATTACCTACAAAACATACCAACACATAGGACGTCCTTACTCCAGCATTACCTCCAACACGTACCCACACATAGAATGTCCCTACTCCAGCATTACTTCCAATACGTACTCCAGCACTACCTCTAATACGTTACCACACATGGAACGTCCCTGTTCCAGCACTATCTCCAATACGTACCCTGACATAGAACGTCCCTACTCCAGCACTACCTCCAATACGTACCAACACAAGGAACTCCCTACTCCAGCACTACCTCTAATACGTACCCACACATAGAACGTCCCTAATCCAGCACTACCTCCAATACGTACATACCCACACATAGAACGTCCATACTCAAGCACTACCTCCAATACGACCCAGACATAGAATGTCCCTACTCTATCCCTACCTCCAATACGTACCCAAACATAGAACGTCCCTACTCGAGCACTACCTCCAATATGTACCCACACATAGAATGTCCCTCCTCTAGCACTACCTCCAATCCGTACCCACACATAGAACGTCCCTACTCCAGCACTACCTCTAATACGTACCCAAACATAGAACGTCCCTACTCTAGCACTACCTCCAATATGTACCCACACATAGAATGTCCCTACTCTAGCACTACCTCCAATACGTACATACCCACACATAGAACGTCCCTACTCCAGCACTACCTACAATACGTACCTACACGTAGAACGTCCCTACTACAGTTCTACCTCCTAAAAGTACCTACACATAGAACGTCCCTACTCCAGCACTACCTCCTATACATACCTACACATAGAACGTCCCTACTCCAGCACTACCTCCAATACGTACCCTGACATAAAACGTCCCTACTCCAGCACTTCCTCCTATACATACCTACACATAGAACGTCCTTACCACACATAGAACGTCCATACTCCAGCACTACCCCCAATACGTACCCACTGCACTACCCCAATACATACCAACGCATAGAACGTCCCTATTCCAGCACTACCTCCCCCTACGGCTGACTCCCGCTCATACGGGTCCACAAGTTTGCATGCAGATTCCGCCGCATCCATACTAACATCGCGTATCTCTAACTGTTTTAGTCCCTACTCCAGCATTACCTACAAAACATACCAACACATAGAATGTCCCTGCTCCAGCACTTCCTCCTATACATACCTACACATAGAACGTCCTTACCACACATAGAACGTTCCTACTCTAGCACTTCCCCCAATACGTACCCACACATCGAATGTCGCTACTCCAGCATTACCTACAAAACATACCAACACATAGAACGTCCCAACTCCAGCACTACATCCAATACGTATCCACACATAGAATGTACCTACTCCAGCACTAACTCCAATACGTACCCTACTCTGGCACTACCTCCAATACGCACCCACACATAGAACTTCCCTTCTCCAGCACTACCTCAAACACGTTACCACACATGGAACGTCCCTATTCCAGCACTACCTACGTACCCACACATCGAATGTCCCTACTCCAGCGCTACCCCCAATACATACCCACACATAGAATATCCCTACTCCAGCACTACCTCCAATACGTACCCACACATAGAACGTTCCTACTCCAGCACTACCTCCACCTACGGCTGACTCCCGATCATACCGGTCCACAAGTTTGTATGCCGATTCCGCCGCATCCATACTAACATCGCGTATCTCTAACTGTTTTATTCTGGTTAGAAATCCGTTTTTGCCCGACTTCTTCATATATTTCTGAATATTAGGCCAGTGCTGCAGAGGGCAAATCAAAATAGGAGATTAAGCAAGAAAACAATGCAAGTATAAAAAAAAATAAAAAAAATGGGTATATACTATTCCAACGTAAATTTGTATGACCTTAAGGGGTTTTCCCGTTTTGTCCTGAATTTCGTGTTAATCGTGGAAACGAAACCATTTTTCTTTGGAAAATTCAACCTGTCATTATTGTCACTAGATCCGAAACCTGTGAAATAAAGACCTAACGAAAATTGTGAATTTTATTAAATCCGCGAACATTAGGGAACAAGAACAAAATATAGATACATATAAGCCGCGATTATTAATACACATTCATAAAGGAATATACAGCCGTTATTCTTGCTAAAATTCACAAACTTATTATCGCGATTATGTTGTTTAAAAGAAATTTATTATTAACATCACGTGTTTTGTGTGAGCCTCCCTATTCACATGTCAGTGATTGACGTGACACACCTACCTCTACATCAGAAGGGGATTCACCCAACAATATCATGGTAGCCTTCATGATGTCGTGGACTAGAGGTCGAGGTTTCTTATATCTCGATATTTCTGACACGGTAAGACGTCCCATACTGAGCACGTTGTGTGTGAGTGAAGGTGGTGATAGACCATCTAGGCATGCTTCTGCTTCTGTGATATTCGGCATCAGCTTGTCATGGTACACGTCACATGATCGGGCTTGTTTAATTGAATATATTAACATCTGTCGATTCTTTCTCTTGATACTCTCCATTAGCGCTTATCAAATAAGGAGAAAAGAACAGTTGTATAAGTAAAAACAGTATACCCTTTACATAAACATACATACTATACGTATCTAAAGATATTTCATTACAGATCTTAATTACTTCTTGATTGGTTTCCGTATTTAATGACATATGACATATTGCTTTATTTTATTATTTTTATGACATAATTTGTTTTTCGTAAACTTTTAACATCAAACATAACAATGGTAAATGCTAGTATATGAAACATAAGAAGACAGGAAAATGTAGATTTTATTTAAAGATATGATCATTTTTTAACAAGACATTCGAATACAAGAGGCACCAGGAAAAAAGAAAGACTGCATAATTACCCGTTAAACTACTACCACGTGTGAAACTGTTATGGAGCAAAGCGTATATTATGATTTATACGAGAAATACCTTGTTTGATCCGGAGAAAGTTGATTTTTTCTGTAGCTCCAACAACTTCTCCTTTACTTTGTATTTTCAGCTGTTGAAATGCGTCCAGTGAGTGTTGAAGTACCTCCGGATTGTTGGATTTCTGTGTGACAAACACAAGTCTTGCCCTCGCTTTCTTCTGGGTAGGATTCTGCGAAAGGGAAACCCGAATGGCTATGAATATCTGTTTGGGTGCTTATACAGCTGTATGAGGAAGGAAACTTTTGCAATCCCTTAATTGAAATATGTATGACGGGTATCCGTAGTACATGGTTTAACATTGTTTTACCTTATGATCTAGCAAATGTTTATAACACCATCTCATAGTTATAATACTATAAACTAGTTAATAGTTTCCCTAGCGACTCTACAGGAAGCAATGCTATGTTGATTTCAATTATTTGATTTGATTTTTTCAGCTCAATTTTGTGACAATGAAATAAAAATGATGAAAAGAATATAAAAGTCATTCAAAAATCATTTTATGAAATTCACAGGGTCATTTAAAAAAGAAACAATATAAGATTTAAGAAGTTGGAGATCGTCTTCTATCCTATAAAATGGGTTGAGAACATGAAACAAGATTAAACACTTTTATTATTTACGGAGATTGAAAGGGTTCTATACAAGTTTATAACTTACATCCCAGACTCGAGTTCGTGTGTTTACCTTCTCCGTGGTGAGGAGATAATTACAGGCCACGACGAACGGGTTATTTGAATGCCTGTCTCGACAGAGGATAACTAGGCCATACTCTCCAGTGACTGGTACTTTAACTGTGACCTTCACCTCTTTGTCTTGTACACTATGTGTGACGTAATGACTGACATCGTTTTTACAGTCGAAGAGTTGCGTTTTGATTGACAGTTCCTCCGTCATGTCAAACAAAACGATGATGTCTTGATTAACGTGAATGTTTAAAACTCCGCCGATGTGAGAGATTGGCACGAGACCAGCGTTCAGCGTGCTGATACAAGGTCCAAAGTCAAGCATTGGATGTTCAGGGAAGGCATTTTTCATCAGTGTTGACTTCTCGCAAACAATCCGAAAAGAACAAAGCCATCCTCGTTTGGAATCGGACAATTTTAGTCTGTACACGCCATCACATGGTAGCCGTACGTTTACTCTCCGGTTTTTGTGGCTGTGTATAATGGCTATAAATCTGTCGAGTTGAACATCCGGGGAACTATCTTCCTCGGATATGTTTCTGTCAAACATCAGTTCTGCGAAAAGCTTTGCATCCTCATCCCGCCCTTCTCTAAGCGTCAAGTTCAGCTTACAGTAGCCATACCTGGCTTGGATAGTGCCGTCTTGGAGGTTCGGCAATTTAATAAAACCATCGAAGAATTGTGAACTGACATAGGGTAGTCGTTTGAATTTTTCTTTTGAGTAAGAATTCTGGAGAAGCTGCCAATCGGTTTTGATAGGAAGACATCTGAAGATGAACTCGTCTGGATCAGTCAGGAAGAAGAACTCGTTCAAATTGCCGTCATCGTCCACATCCAGTGTAGCATTCTCTCCTTCATCTGTAAACCAAATCGTTTCAGTGTATTAATGAGTTGTTACAGAAAAAAAAACATTGCTGTTGTGTTAGATTAGAAAATATATGATGAGCGTATAACTGGACCACATAATAATATTGGTAGTCTCTACATATTTTAATGGTAATTCATTTACTAATATCATTATATATGATCACCTTCTAAAGTCTTTCCTTTAGTCTATTACTAGTTTTATATCACCTGCTTCATTAGTAAGTGCCCACAGTGGGAACACGAGTCTCCAGCCACCCGCCACGTATACCGCCGTCCACGTGTTGACTAGATTGGTTAGACTTTCCTTTCCTACGTCATAACCCTGGCTCTTTGCGAATCCATCCACCAGCACACATGGAATGTGTGCTTTCCTGTTATATTGCATTAGCAGGGAATAGAAAAGATAAATGTATGGTTTATCCACGAATTGTTTTTAACGAAGATTCTTTCTTTATTTGTTTGTTTGTCTTTCGAAAAGACTAAAATTACGTAGGCCTTTTTAGGCCTAAGAATGTTACCGCTGGGGTTAATATTTCATATTTTACTTATGACTTATATCGAGAGTTTAAAACACTTAATAAACAAAAGGTCGAAATTAAGAAATTCATATTTTCATTTTTATATGTATGTTTGCGAAACGATTCTATTGGAAAACCCCTATTGTGTGCTAACATTAATCTATACTTCAGATATAGTGTACATTGTACCTGCATAAAAATGTAAACAGTTCGGCGTAGGAAATATTGCCAGACATTAGCCGCTTCAGGTAATCCGTTGGTGAGTACTTCTCGGGTCTGAAACGCAGTTCGGAAACGCCGAAGATGTGGTACCCAATCCACATGAGGATCGCCCTTACTTTTTGTACCTCCTTTGTAAACTCTCCAGTAAGTTTCAGTAATAGCTCTTCTATCGTCTCTACAGATTCAGGTTTTACCTAAATTTTTGAACCGGAAGCAAGCTTTTAGATTACTTTTGAATGATAACAACAGTTGAAAAAAATAATTTTAAAAGACTTTAATGTTCGGTAAAAATCCTTCTTTTTTAATATTACAAAATGTACATGTTAATATAAAAAAAATATTTTCAGACATGAAAAAATAATTTGTTCAAATTAAAATGATAATGAATATACGAAATGATATTTCAATGTTAGAGAATAAATTCCGCTTTGGCTTCTCATGTGATTCAGATCGTAATTAGTGATGTCTGTTTAAAACCTGATTTTCGTCATCCTGAGCGGTGTTTAGCATGTCGCCCACGTGCACGGTACTACATACCTGTTGAGCCCTACGGTCGGGATCCTTGTACAGGTCCGTTGATGTTATGTCCGCCTTGCTCACTTTAGAAGGACGAGGTGCCGGGTAGTCTTGTGGATTCACCAGGAGTTCCTCTATCTATGTCGATTGATTTACAACAAGTCATCATCAGTTAGCTTATAATAACAGTGATAATCCCAAAGTATTGACATTGACTATGCAAATTTATTTGTATGTAATGACGCGTTACTTTCGCACAGTCAAACTAAAGGCGGGGTTGAAATTTCATCGCCACTCTAAAAAGGTAAACAGCTCCAACTACACATAACTCTGTTTGGAAAGAGCAAATCCCTGGGTTATATTTCATTTCAGATCACGAATATACCAAATATAAAACATACTTTCACGTTCTTTAAAAATTGCATTGCTACAACATATATCACAAGTTTCACTTTGCTTATTCAATGTCTATGAAATTTGTTTTGAATGAAGCAAGTTTCACACTTGCCGAATTGGACTCCTTTAGATTTTGCACTGTGTTGCTCTAGAACTTGTTCGAAGATGATGCATTACAAACCTCATCGTCCAGGACCTTCTTGTGTCGTTTTTGTTTCAGCTTTGTCTTTCGTCTCCCAACTCGCTTATTAAGTTTCATACATATGTCGTCTTCAACAATCTGAGAAAAGCGTAGACAAAGAATAGGTGTTATCCTATCATTGAAAAGTTGTGTAATTAAATACTTTTGTCGCAGATTTATGTTTAAGATTACCATATAATCCTGTCAGAAGTACACTCTATAAACCTTAACAATACAATTTCGTATTCACATGTCGCGGCTGGTCTATTTTCAATAGATGCTATTTAAATGAAATTTAATTCTCGTTGTCACGGAGCATCACATTCTAAGTCATAGTCATCAAATCACTTAACCAAATTGTAATAATTGTTTCAAACCCTTCATTTATATTAAGAATACGACATTTTTAAATTTGTAAAACTTCATTAATGAAATTTTCTGCTTTACATGGATGATAATCAATTATTTTTCATTAAAATCATATGTATATGGCAGATATTGGCCTCGTCTTACTTCCTTGTCTATTTATGCTGATGCATTCAAGACTTAAGGCTACAACAAATTGATAAGAAAGCGATGCTCCGAATTGAAATAAGGGTAATGAAACTGTATTTTCAATTGGGGACAGTCATGTGCATTAACAATATCGTAGGAATTGAGAGTTCCTCACCCGCGTGGTGGAATTTAGGGTGCCATAATATAAGATTGGTCAGTTTTCCTCTAAATTGACAGTCCAAAATACGGTCAGATTTGCTTTTCAAAATATATTAAGTTTCTGACGAAGTTCATTAAAATTTCAAAAGTTAACGATTCCTCGCGACCATGCATTTTTGATATCCTTCTTGTTGTTACTACGACACCTTTATCATACGGACATTTTTACAAATGTTACAGGTAAAATTATAATAAATTTATTTATATGCACGTGTTACCTTATTTAGGACAGTATGTTCGAAGGCGTTGTTAGAATCGTTAATCTCTGGTTGTGCCGAAACCATCCCGATATGACCATCACCCTCGCCTGGCCCTATGCTAGAAAGAGTCTGACCTCGGATATATCCAGTGGATAACACCATTTCCTGTTCAGTGCTACGATCGTCCCCTGGCTGATTGTACCCTGTGTGTGCATGTGCCTGTCTATAAGTGGTTGAATAAAGCATTCCCGCCTCGTCACTAAAGCCCTCCTCTTCCTCATATGGATACAGGTCCCCATATGTGGGAAGTGAAGATTCACGCTCGTTGCTGTCAGCTAAATGTTCGCTCTCGTTTCCGGGAAGTAACACGCTCGTAGGCTGTTCAGGTGACGTGTGGTTCAAATCATAAGGTATGTTATATTGAACTGACCCTTTCCTCTCCTCATTGGACACGTGGACAGTGGGCGTGTCAGTGGTCATGTCATTATTAACGTCCCTTTCATTCTGTAGAGCAGTTTGTTCTCTGTCCACCGATAGAATTTCCTCTGGAGCACTTGTGTTGGAGGTTGATGACTGTCGACCATCCGAGTGAGAAGGTTTTGGTGAAAGATCAGAAGCATATACGACAATAGCTCTCGACCCAGTACTTCCCATCATGACTATTTATATATATTTCCACTGCACTAGTAAAATGAAACATTCCATTTCACAAATGTAGTGCCAGACATGTTTACACGTCTATCATAATACGCCGTATACACTAAATACTTGGATAGTGTGTGACCGTCAGCTGGATGTCAGGGCAGGTCCTATTTCTAAGGGAGACATCATAGTCCGCTTTCTCATATCAAATAATTGCCACCTTCATCTATAATTATAAATTTGCTGCCTTATAATGAATGTTCCGTCATGTGGAAAGGAGGCGCGATATGTCATTAAAAAAGGTCGTTACATTTGAGGTTGTTTTAAAACCATTAAAATATCCATTTAAATTCGAGTATTTATTTACTTGATAGGATTTTCTCTACCAGGTTCTCGTTTACAGGATCACATCAATTAGGCCTATATATGTATATTTGCATTTCATGATTTTACATTAAGGATGGCTAGCTGATTAACCGTTATGTTGTTCACATAATGTACTTGCGTATCACTAAAGCTGTAATCACAACCTAGCTGGTGGTATTCTTAACCATCTTAAAAGCATTTTGAATGTGAAAACTCTTGGATATTAAATGATAATTTACAAGCAAGATATTTAAGAAATGAAATATTAGAAAAAAATCAGTTTCAAAACACAAAAACAAAATTGAAACTCAAAATCGATATGACGTAATTGTAATTCAAAATCGATAAAATAGCGGGAACAGGATCCGAGCAGACACTACTATATATTGAAATGGCATCACTGACCCCAATTACGATGGGTTCACATATTAGCGAAGATCGAATAGCCATAGTGTCCATTAATCATATGACGTCAGTGTCCAATGATGATTGAGAAATAAAACAGCGAAGGTCACATGACGATGGTGTCTACTAATGATGGGTCTAAACAACAGCTATGGTCATATGATGACGGTGTCCACTGATGATTGGGCTACACAAAAGTTAATGTCACATGACGACGGTGTCAACTGATAATAGAGCCACACAACAACGAAGGTCTGTGACGACCTCGTCCACTGATAATGGAGCCACACAACAGCTAACGTCATATGACGACGGTGTTCACTGATGATGGATCCACACAACAGCTAACGTCTATGACGACGGTGTCCACTGAGGATGGAATCACACAACAGCTAACGTCTGTGACGACGGTGTCCACTGATGATGGAGCACCACAACAGCTAACGTCATATGACGACAGTGTCCACCAATGATGAAGCCACACAACAGCTAACGTCATATGACGACGGTGTCCACTGATGATGGAGCCACACAACAGCTAACGTCATATGACGACGGTGTCCACTGATGATGGAGCCACACAACAGCTAACGTCATATGACGACGGTGTCCACTGATGATGGAGCCACACAACAGCTAACGTCATATGACGACGTTGTCCACTGATGATGAAGCCACACAACAGCTTACGTCATATGACGACGGTGTTCACTGATGATGGAGCCACACAACAGCTAACGTCATATGACGACGGTGTCCACTGATGATGGAGCCACACAACAGCTAACGTCATATGACGACGGTGTCCACTGATGATGGAGCCACACAACAGCTAACGTCATATGACGACGGTGTCCACTGATGATGGAGCCACACAACAGCTAACGTCATATGACGACGGTGTCCACTGATGATGGAGCCACACAACAGCTAACGTCATATGACGACGGTGTCCACTGATGATGGAGCCACACAACAGCTAACGTCATATGACGACGGTGTCCACTGATGATGGAGCCACACAACAGCTAACGTCATATGACGACGGTGTCCACTGATGATGGAGCCACACAACAGCTAACGTCATATGACGACGGTGTCCACTGATGATGGAGCCACACAACAGCTAACGTCATATGACGACGGTGTCCACTGATGATGGAGCCACACAACAGCTAACGTCATATGACGACGGTGTCCACTGATGATGGAGCCACACAACAGCTAACGTCATATGACGACGGTGTCCACTGATGATGGAGCCACACAACAGCTAACGTCATATGACGACGGTGTCCACTGATGATGGAGCCACACAACAGCTAACGTCATATGACGACGGTGTCCACTGATGATGGAGCCACACAACAGCTAACGTCATATGACGACGGTGTCCACTGATGATGGAGCCACACAACAGCTAACGTCATATGACGACGGTGTCCACTGATGATGGAGCCACACAACAGCTAACGTCATATGACGACGGTGTCCACTGATGATGGAACCACACAACAGCTAACGTCATATGACGACGGTGTCCACTGATGATGGAACCACACAACAGCTAACGTCATATGACGACGGTGTCCACTGATGATGGAACCACACAACAGCTAACGTCATATGACGACGGTGTCCACTGATGATGGAGCCACACAACAGCTAACGTCATATGACGACGGTGTCCACTGATGATGGAGCACCACAACAGCTAACGTCATATGACGACGGTGTCTACCAATGATGAAGCCACACGACAGCTAACGTCATATGACGACGGTGTCCACTGATGATGGAGCTACACAACAGCTAAGGTCATATGACGACGGTTTCCACTGATGATGGAACCACACAACAGCTAACGTCATATGACGACGGTGTCCACTGATGATGGAGCCACACAACAGCTAACGTCATGTGACGACGGTGTCCACTGATGCTGGAACCACACAACAGTTTACGTCATATGACGACGGTGTCCACTGATGATGGAACACCAAAACAACTCACGTCATATGACGACGGTGTCCACTGATGATGGAGCCACACAACAGCTAACGTCATGTGACGACGGTGTCCACTGATGATGGAACCACACAACAGTTTACGTCATATGACGACGGTGTCCACTGATGATGGAACACCAAAACAGCTTACGTCATATGACGACTGTGTCCACCAATGATGAAGCCACACAACAGCTAACGTCATGTGACGACGGTGTCCACTGATGATGGAGTCACACAACAGCTAACGTCTGTGATGACGGTGTCCACTGATGATGGAGCCACACAACAGCTAACGTCATATGTCGACGGTGTCCACTGATAATGGAGCTACACAACAGCTATCGTCATATGACGACGGTGTACACTGATGATGGAGCCCCACAACAGCTAACGTCATGTGAAGACAGTGTCCACTGATGATGGAACCACGCAACAGCTAACGTCATATGACGACGGTGTCCACTGATGATGGAACCACACAACAGCATTCGTCATATGTCGACGGTGTACACTGATGATGGAGCCCCAGAACAGCTAACGTCATGTGACGACGGTGTCCACTGATGATGGAACCACACAACAGCTAACGTCATATGACGACGGTGTCCACTAATGATGGAACCACACAACAGCTAACGTCATATGACGACGGTGTCCACTGATGATGGAGTCACACAACAGCTAACGTCTGTGATGACGGTGTCCACTGATTATGGAGCTACACAACAGCTAAGGTCATGTGATGACGGTGTCTTCTAATGATGGGTCTACACGACAGCTAAGGTCATGTGACGACGGTGTCCACCGATGATGGAGCACCACAACAGCTAACGTCATATGACGACGGTGTCCACCGATGATGGAGCCACATAACTAAGGTATGTGACGACGGTGTCACAAGATGAAATGCAAAGTAAATTCTTGTATTACTTTTGATAAATGCATACTTCGTAAGTCATGGTTATTGATATATAGCGGACAATTAATAAGCTTAAACGTTATGTTTATCATTTTTTTTTTATTTTTCATTGAATTACATGTTATTTTACAAATTTACAAAAGCTTTGAAATAAAATGAAAGAAACAATATTCCTCTTTTTCACATCTCCTCAATCATATTAAATATTTACGTCCGTCAAGCAAGTCACCTCATAACGTATATTCAATGTCGACATGAATTAAATAGATTTCAATAAAACAATATGAACATGTTTTACTATACTGTAAAGGGGACCCCCTAATGCATCAATGTGTTAATGAATCACAATGTTGTGTCGCCATTGCTCAGTAGAACTTATTCAAATTTTGTAGTTATATTTCTTTGAAGTAAAGAAAATTTTCTGCCACAAAAAAAATATAGGTTGTCAGAATTTTAAGGATTTTAAATGGAAATTTATGTAAAAAGGATCAAATTTGGAAAAAAAATTGAAACACACATTTCTTTTGCAAAAAAATGTTAATAAAAATGATAATAACAGATTAGTATTGCATTAATGTATATCAATTTCATAAATGCTGAAATTGTGTAAAATTAATCATTATAAACGATTAAAAATTGACATTTTATGATAAAACCATATACACNGAGCCACACAACAACTTACGTCATATGACGACGGTGTTCACTGATGATGGAGCCACACAACATCTAACGTCATATGACGTCGGTGTCCACTGATGATGGAGCCACACNTAAAAACAACTGAATTAATGCCTGGACTGCTTTGCAATACTATTTTATTGAAAGAACACACTGTTCTGTCAATAATAAACATACAATATTCATCACTTTAATATTAAAAACAGCTTACGTCATATGACGACGGTGTCCACTGATGATGGAGCCACACAACAGCATACGTCATATGACGACGGTGTCCACTGATGATGGAACCACACAACAGCTAACGTCATATGACGACGGTGTCCACTGATGATGGAGCCACNAATACAACTATTGTGGAAGGTATAACTCTTACCCTTATTGTAGTAATTCAGCTTGTAAGTTTAACTTAAGTTGCATTACAAGGCGATTAAGCAATAAATCGTGTTAGATGAAATCACTACAATAAGACTATACTTTACCTTCCTCAGTTGATACAAAAAGCATACACATGTATATATTTAAGATTAGTTTGATGCATTGATGCATTATGGGGTCTCACATGCCGTCAACCTATATCTCTGTATATCTTACATGTATGAGTTTATGCTATAGACGTTACGCATTGTTATGCTAAATATATGCTGACATACCACACATCTCATATATCAATAGTTATAGTCAATATCTACGTATGTAAAACATATCACACAGTAGCGAATGATATCATGTGATCTATAATGTTCGAATGAACTAAGATATATCTTGAATTGAAACATGAACGTAAAATGAATTCAAGTTTGTTCACATGTTTCCCTGGCATTTTTTATTATGTGACCGTAGCATCTACTTTTCAAAACTGTTCTAAACATCCTACTGCTTCACATGTTCATATATACCGCCTAGTTGTCCAACGCATATTTATCTTACAAGACGCTAACAAACCGCTATGTTAAGAAATTGTGAAAAGTTTACAATCATCATTGTGTTTCTATATAAATAATAGTTTGAGGTTGAAGTTCAGCATTTTGTAACAAACACAAGACGTGAGCTTTGTATAAAAAATGCATTTAGCAAACCAGACGTATATCACTTGGGTCCAACTAATAAGGGGAGACGATAGATCTAATCAGAAACATTTGTATACGAGTTATCGCCCTTAACCTGTTAAGTATTTCTGTTTTGTAATATCCAACTTAAAATATTATAAAGAGATATGGGTTTTTAAAGCTGTTTGACTAATATGGTTGTTTGAGATATATGACTGAATTTGTGTCTGAATGATATGGTGGCGTAAGATGTTTCAGGTAGGTGATGTCCGACTGATATGGCAATGTGATGTTTCATTGAACTGTTGACTGTTCAAATTCCGGCTGAGATTTTGTCTGTTCACCGCCATCATAGTACCCGGTCCACTTCAGTACTTCTTTGGTGATGTTGTAAACCTAGAACGAAGGACAAAATAAATAGCATTCCTTTTAAGTGTTGACAACAACATACCACTACTTTCAACGGGTCAATCAATGGCGACAATACTTGGCAACCATAAACTGTGATGATGATGATGATGATGATGATGATGATGATGATGGATGATGATGCTGATATACGATGACATGCCATGTTGTGAAAATTTGACCGTAATGTCGAAACATTCTTTTTCTTTTACTATGTTTCATGTTTGGTTGAAACCATGTGTAAGATGTAATTTAATCAAATATGATAAATACAACTTGTTGTATAAGTATAATAAACGCTACTTTACAGACATATTAAGCATGAATAACGTTAGTCGACGGAAAATACGACAGAAAACTTACCCAGACGTAGAAAGCTCCCGCGGCAGCGCTAGCCTCTAACAGGTTGGCCTTGTCGTACTGTGAGATGATGTCGGCTGCACGCTGGGCCGTCTCTGTTTCTAGGTAGATTGTGTCATACTGTTTGATTTTATAAAGCACATTCTCCCTTCCTGCCTTCCTCAGTAAATCTTGAATGGCTTCCCAATCCTGACGAGATATTCAAACTTATCTTTTAACATTTAATTGAGTGTATAAGACACTACGGACCCTTTCAGATTATATCAATGTTTATAACAAATAAAAATATCATATACTAACCAGATAATATAAATTATCGTGTTTAGTCTGCACTAAACCCAACAGCAAACACAGGTTATACTCAGCTATGTTTTTGTGGATGAAATGAAAAACATGTAAATTGTCGAAAATGAGCATTTATTCTAATATATATATATGTATACATATTTGTGTTGATTTTTATAATAAGGTGTACAAAGAACCAAAAAAGACGGGGCTTGCTTCAAAATAAACGCCACAAACTTGAACTTAAATAATACCATATTTCTGTTCAAGTGCCCCACTCCAGAGAAACCTGTGTATGTTATAATGTACCAATATCGCACCATGCAAAATATTGTGTCACTATTTACAAAAGCATTTAAGATATATCAAACAATCAGAAAAAGACATGGCATCATATGCTTATTAGCATTTCTGACAGTTACTTTTCGACAATTTAAGTGTTTGTTATTTTATCGACAAAAAACATAGCAGAGTATAACCTGTGTGTGCTGTTGGGTTTAGTGCAGACTAAACACGATAATATAAGATTAAGTAGCTTACATATAATAAAAAAATCAAGATGGTAAATGAGTCTTCATTCCATTAATTTGACATCTGTAACATATCTAGACGCAATCGTCTTAGTGTGAACATGACGTTTAATTAAACTTCGGGCCGACTGTGATCAATCTCATATAAAACGTATACTCAACAATTTTATGTATGCTAGCATTGCCAACCATGTGTGTCACTTTAAGTAAAACTAACTTGGCTTTCTAAAGTAATGCCTATTCTGAGATACAGTCTTCAATTTAACACCACCAAAGACACAAATGTATTCCTGCAAACGCGGATATTTAACTGTAAGGAAGTATTCGCGTTGAAATTTCGCGGTGTGGAAAGTTTAACTAGTGCAATTTGGTTCTAAAATCTATTTCTCTAACAACCACTACAGGTGTTCTCACTCCCGACTCATTGGATACACCTACTAGGAGTTGGTAAACACTTTTTGTTACCTACTAGTTAGTAACACTCTGGACATTATTTCATTGGTCAATCTTTTAATTATGACGTCAAGTAGCAATGCTTTGCGACGATATCATTTCTGAATGTTGTGGAGAGAAAGAGGTCCCCGAACTCTTGTTAGGCAATTTGGAAATTGGTCTAAGTTAATATCGTGTCCTTGTACAGTTTGAAAACTGAATAACTCGATTAAGATCAACAACAATCACTCATCAGGAAACCTCTGTGTGTACAATACATCTATCAAATTTATAATCTGTCAACTAGTATTTGCGTTTGGATACCTGTGCGTTAATTCATTCATTTCAGAAAACGAAAGCATTTCCACACCGCGAAAATTTCCACTTTTAAAGTACTCCTTGCAGTTTACTAATATGTATCTTATTTGTGGGGAAAAGGAGTTTTGTTAGGTATTATTCAAAAGGTAAAACAATGTTATATACCCCCAATGGTTCCTCTTTCTCGCCCAGGACAAGGAAGGTAGCCTTCATGACATCGTGAATGGACTGTTTAGGTATGTTGTACCGGTGAATTTCGGACACCGTTGTACGTTGAAGGGCGAGTACGTCGTGGGCGAACAGGTTGATCTGACTAAGGTGTTGAAGGAGGGCCTCTCCATCTGTTATCATCCCTTCTAACTTGTCCCGGTGCTCTGAGTCCTTAGCTTCACGTAGTGCTCTATCTAGCACCTCAACATGGCGTCGGTTTATGCCGTCCCGTAAGTCTGGGAATATGGCAATATTATAAATGATAGCTGGTAATATTTAAATTCCGATTTATTTGTTTGTTAGTTGAATTGATAGGATATGTTAGAATCGGTCAGACATGTTAATCCCAGGGCAAAAAAGGTACTATTATTTACTTAAAGTTGTTGCATTCGAATTTAAATGATGTGAAGTATCTGTATGCTTTCAACCAATAGTGATGTTTATAATAACGATACGTTTCGAATGAATCTTAATAATCAATTGCAAAGGGAAATAATCCACTCACTGTTTTTCGTTACTAGATAGCCAATACGTCTCTGCGCTCGATCCACCTCCCCGTGGTTGATGAGCTCAAGGTCATTGAACTTGTAAAGAGCCTGTTTTATCTCTTCTGGGTTTCTGGACTTGCTAGTCGACTCATCAAGGCGGTGCCGGATGAGCTTCTCTCGGGCGTTCTACAAATATTTAGAACTATCATTTTACTATCTGTTTAGGCCACATAAAGTGGAGAATGATTTTCAAATGATCTGAAATATAACACACGATAGAGGAGAAACATGCATCAAATTGATTTTCAAGCAATCTGGAGAAAAAAAACAGAATTGTTTTTTTAACAATCTGAAATGGAACAAACAAAGTCGAATTAATTATTTTTAAGTTCGTTTCTCTTCGCTTCTAATCGATCATATATGTGCATTCACTACAACTTATCACAAATACGGTTTCTAAAAACTACAGAAATATTATCAAAGGGCTAATAAAATTTTGAATCAGTAGCATTCAATAATAATAATAATTATCTCCATAAATAAGGATACGTTGAAGGTAAAATGTTTTATACTTTGGAAAGTTAAATATTTTAGCTTCGACGAAGAAATTTTATTCAAAACACGCATATCACGTGCTCTAAATAATGTATTTCTAGCCTTTTATAAAATCATTTCTATCCAGGCTAAATGTGTTCCTGCAGTGGCTTTATCAAATAGTATAGTTAGTTGAATCTATTTGAGAATTATTTTCCTTTTATATGTTGCATATATATGAAAGCATTACCAATAATAGTGCAAGATGTATTTTAAGCCTCATACAGCATACATTGTCTGCAACAAGTTTGAGTGGAATAAAAAAAAACATAAGTAAATTACCTCCCAGCCTTTATCCTTTCTCGGTTTCTCGTCCGTTACGACCAGATAGTTTATCGCGTTCCTGAACTCATCGTTTGGCCCCTTTTCCTTTGTGAAGACCTGGAGCGCATACTCCCCGTTTTGAGGAACTGTCAAATGAACATTGACCAGGTTGTCAAGGATTTTATGTGATGCATGTTCCTGTAGTTCCGCGGGTGATATCGTATTGTGCACCAAAACTGTTCGAATATGAAGATTCCTTAACATTGTGAACTTTATTTGAATATGCTGTTTCTTTGTCATGTTTATCACACCGTTGCTGTAGGCCAGCGTTTCTACCCTGAGCCCTGCGTTCTCCGTCTCCTTACATGGACCGAACCCTATCATGGAGTTTATTGGATACGGATCCCAGGGTTCTATGTCCTCATCACACCAGATCTTGAAGAAGCATATCCAGTCTTTTGAATTGTCCAGAACTTCCAGTTTATATACACCATCAACCGGAAGTCGCAAAATGAAGTTTGTTTTATCTGCCTCGTTCATAATAGCAACATACCTCTCTAACTGAATATCATCCGGAATATCTCGATCCGATTCCTTGTGATTATAATGTAATTCATAGGACAGTGGAACAAACTCTGGTCCTGGCTTAATAGCTATGTTACATTTTCCTTTCACTGTCTTTATAATAGAATCAAACTTTGTCGAGATTTGGAGTCCGTATTGGAAATATGGTGGCCATAAGTACGGTACCCGGATGAATTTTCTCTTTGAGATGGGTTCCCTGAGAAGCTGCCACCTTTTCTCGTCTGGAAAGCAAGTAAAGCAGAACTCCCCGGGGTCAATGAGGAAGTAATAATCGTCTACCTGACTCACAGATTCACCGGCAGATTTTTCTTCTCTCTGAAGCAAGGGTTCACCTGGAAAGACAAATGGTAATTGCGTATTGTTTATTTATTTTCTCAATGAAATATTGTATTTCACCAAACAATTAGATACGTTTATAATTTCCAGCTGACATAGTATTATACAATAAAAATAGTATTTTTTTTACGGATTTCTGCAGTTCAAAAGTACTGCTTATACTTCGAACTGAAATCTAACATCATTGCAGGCTCTGCTTGTGTAGGTTTACTTCGGAATTTCCTTTTTAAAATATTGTTTTACCTGTAGACTCCGCAAGTGTCCAGTCCCCCGTCGTCTTGCCGACGACTGCTGACAAAGCCCACAGAGGGAACACAAACCGCCATTCTCCACTCACGTAGACAGCGTTCCACATGTTTCGCAGTGAGTCGACATTCTTGTCTCCTACTTCATAGGACGCTGATTTGGCTATTCCTCGAATTATAACACAGGGCAGCTTAGCTGATCTGGAGGATAAATGATATTTAGGTTGCACCAAGATACATAATTATGAATCCTGATTTAGACTGCAATTTGTCTTAAGAGCAGCCATGATAAACATGGACGTTTCGATGTTATGCAGCTAGTGAAAGTATCTCTTCCTTGATCGATTTTTTTTTTTCCTTACACGTTCGTTATCTATAAACATAAAATGTAAGAATGTAAGGAGACTGTTCAGCTTACAGACAGCTGAAAATTTGTGAAATGTATCACTAACATATTATCACAAATAGCTTACAACTCATCAAACAACACTAATAATTTATCATAGCTAACCACTGGTCAAATATCACTTTCAATTTATCAAAGATAGCTTACAACTGGTAAAATATCACTAACAAATTATCATAGATAAAAACTGGTCAAATATCAGTAACAAATTACCATATCTTACTATATCAATAACATACTATCACATATAGCTTACAACTGGTCAAATATCATTAACACATTATCACAGATAGCTTACAACTGGTCAAATATCATAGATTGCTTACAACTGGCCATATAATACTAACAGATTATCATTGGAGCAGGATCTAACAACTGGTAAAATATCACAAACACGTTATCACAGATAGATTATAACTGATCAAATATCATAGATTACTTACATGTGGTCATATATCACTAACTAATTATCATAGCTAACAACTGGTCAAGTATCACTCGCAGATTATCACAGAAAGCTTATAACTGTTCAAATATCACAGAAAGCTTACAACTGGTCAAATATCACTAAGTCATAGACTCCTAACAATTAGTCCTGACAGTTAACGTTAACACGAACGTGTTGTTGTCACATAACGTGTATGTTGATTTCTTACCTGCACAATAGTGTGAACATAACGGCATAAGACACTCTCCCTAGGGCCATCCTCTTTAGATGCCCTATTGGAGTGGTAGGATCCAAGATGGTGGGGTACGTCCGTTGTCGTATTCGCTGCATCCCTAACCACATAAATAACGCTCTAAGCTTCTGCATGTCCGTTTTTAGTTTGATAGTAAGTTCTCTTACCAGTTCGTCTATGGATCCTACCGACTCTGCATCCACCTAGATACGTAATGAATAGGAGATTTTACACCAAAGCCATATAGCTTGAAATAACATATCAACAGTTTTCAAATGTGGTTACCTTTAAAATAAGCTATCCATCTCTGAATCAATAGTTACAAAAGAATAACGTTATAATTTCCATGTCTTTTTTTAGTGAACAATCCATTCCAGAGTAGTTATATAAACGAAGCCTGGTAATCAATTATTTTTGAGTTGTTAACGATCAAATCGTGAAAGTATATGCATATACCGGTTCAGGTATATATTGCGTCATTTACATATTTGGTAAATGATATGAATAGATTTGTAGAATGCCACATGCAGGTAAGGGCTGTGTCATATGCAAGGATCTACCATTAATATCCCCATATTACATTGCGTTAAAGTATGTCCTGTAGTGCACACGTATATATACAATGGTACAAGGAATTAGACGGGGAATGTTAGGTAAGCTGTGCAGTGGGAGGTTTGGAAGTTCATTGAAAATGACTTGTTGTAATTAATAGGAGCGATATAGTGCAGTAGAATAGGAAGGGTGTTAATAATAGGAGGGGAATGGGTGAGTGTATGGCTGAAATAGTAAGGGAGGGATGTAGTGGGAGAGAAGGAAGAAGTGAGAGAAACACAGTGGAAGGGATGAAGTGGGAAGGAAGTGTGCAGTGGGAAGTAAGGGATAAAAGGTTAGAGATGCAACGGGAAGGGAGATTGCCTTTTCAGGGACAGGATGTTTATTGACATAAGTAGTTCAGTGTGGGGTGCATGCAGGTGGGGCGGATTGGGTCAGTGGGAGGGTATAGTGCAGTTGTAGGAAGGATGCAGTTGTAGGGAGGGTGCAGTTGTAGGGAGGATGCAGTTGTAGGGAGGATGCAGTTGTAGGGAGGATGCAATTGTAGGGAGGATGCAGTTGTAGGGAGGGTGCAGTGGAAGGTAGGATACCAGCCCTACACCTACCTTTGCCGCTATAGCGTCTGCCAGTATACAGTCAGACTCGTGAAATATTTCGTTTTTCTTCCTCTTTGGAGGTCTGGCCGGGGGGTACATATACATGGAGTCTGGTATCACAATCTGTAATGAAACGTGAATTTTAAAGTCAAATTATTTGTGGGGATATATTACAAGGAATCTTGAATAATATAGAAAAGGCGACGAATGATGCAGATCAATTGGTACTTTCCAACAAACACAATATCAGTAATACAGACCAAGATGATATTAATCGAAACATGTTTAGCATCTCTTGTATGAGGTGTGTGAGTGTGTATACCTCTTCTCTTTCAGGCTCTTTAAGGGACGTATTCTGTCTGCCTTTCTCTATAGCACGCTGTTCCTGCTCCTTCAGCATCCGCCCCGCTATCCTAGTCATGTTCACGACGTTCCTAAACTGTTAACGATGATACATAAAATCTTATATCATGTATTTAAAAAAAAGCATTTCAAATGAAAGAACAAAACAATTAAATAGTACGTAGACAAATATTAACTTATTTATTATGTAATTAATTAAATACACATACTACCAGGACAATTACCCACCAACGCCATACAATAAGAACTACAAATACAACGTCGACAACTTTTAGCATGATAATAAAGAAATACCAAAACTATCTTATAAACCACATTTATTATGAGTTAAACCTACCCGTTCTTTCACTGCCTCTTGCCTTGACATGCTAGGGAATCCATTAGGAAGGTTGCCACCCTGAGTAAAGAGAAGAAATATTTTGAGATTATAACATATCTCTATGCAACAATCTGTCACTTATATCACCATTTATAATAAATTTACCCAAAATGCAGCCTTTATTTTTCATCCCAGTTTTAGTCGTAATAAAAGTGTGGGTTCGTCGGAAAAAAACATATTTTGATATTCCGCTAGTATACACAGTGATATTATCAACAAAAGTGAAACATTAAAACCTACAACAATATCATGTCGTTATACATGCATATCACAAAAGATTACTTATATAACAGGTTTCTCATTCGTTCTTGAATTTAGAAAGTACGACTTGCCATAAAGAATCTGTACATGAATCACATAAGTATTGGTTCTGTTATTTCATTACAGTTAAGGCGGTACCATTATACTGTTAAACCCCTGGGAACAAGCCATGATTTTATAATCCCTAATGTTAGACCAGCACAAATTCATCTTCACTGACTACTCGACGCTGCGCTTTTCGAATAACCTTGATACTTCTATGAGCTCGGTGACATAAAGGACATGTTTTTCGTAGTTTCTCTCGCTAGGCAATTTCTCCAGTTACTGCGAGTATGGTGAAGGGAAATTGTACTTGTCTTTACTTCCTTCACTTTTGTCTTTCCCTGATAAATTCTAGTACGTTCAATGCAGTTATGTTTGTAAATCTGATACATTGTATATATAGGAGAAGAAGGGCGATGAAAACGTGTATTTAACTTGTCCCTACGTTCATGTAGGTAAATATGGTTGAACTAGCATATCCCAGTGGACAAAAGACTACCCTTGCCACCCTCAAAAGCATCCTATCATTTCCAGTTCAAATACATTAAATATAAGTAGAAGGCAGCATTGGGTTCATTAAAATTGTATCTTCCTCGCATCAATGGAAAGTTTGACTTAGTCGAAAAGAATTCCTTTGTAAGAGGAAACAAATAATGTGAAATTGGTATGTTGTAGCGAATTTATGTTGTTCTCGTAAGATTATATGGATGATATATTAAATTATCCTCCAGTGTTTGCGTTTACCATCGATTCGGTCGAGTCACTGTACGCAAATGCGACGTCATAAATAGTGTTGAATTTTAATTCAGAGATAGAACTTGTGTGCGATTAAGTATCTAACATGGGACATGTACAAATGTAACATCAAATTATGCTTTTTGAATGTAAACTCATTCACCCCTGAAGACACATTTGAACTCTTCCAATTCAAATGTTGGAATAGTTCATTAATAAATTTCAGGGGTGAATGAGTTAATAAACTTACTTCTCCCTCCTCTCCCTCATTCTGTTTCTCTTCATCCTCCTCGCCCTCCTTTTTCTCTTCCTCCTCCGGGACAGGGGCTGGCTTATTTGCTCCGTTCCCCATTTTGTATTTACTCGCGCCGCAGCCCATTAACGTCTAGCCCTAAGGGGCAACCGTTAGCCCTTGAAAAATGAAGTATTTGTGTTATAAAGCAAAATCAAATAGACTTCCTAATATTGATAATTTTTTATTGTTCAGTCTTAATGTTGTAAAAATATATCGATTGAAACCGAAGCTTCATTACTACAAGAATAAGGCCAAAAAGTTGAATCGTACCATAACACGACTTTGGCTATGGGCCTTTAAACTAGTTTAAAAGATATACATTAAAAGTAAATAAAAAGACAGAGTCCATATACAGGAACAATCGAGAATCGAAACGACACGTAACGTCAACAATAGGAATGGAGAAGATATCAAAAACGGTAAAGCATTATAGACCAACAAACTTGAGGTCAACCAATATGGACCGGAAGTCTTAATCTGCTTCACACAAAACTATCTTATTGTACACTATTACGACAATTCTATAATGATACGTTGAGAGTTTGTTTGTAAAATACACGTTAAAGCAACTGTCTCTAAAGTTCATCGTTTCTGTTTATAACGTACAATTAAACATATCATCTGTTCGTATGTTACATGGAATCTCTTTGTAAAGTACACTATCTAACATAGTCTCTGTTTCCATTTTGTATCACACTTAGTATTTTCTTGTACAGTAATACATGGTATTCATTTTGTAACTTACTTAGTATTTGCTTGTAATATATGGTATTCATTTTGTATCATTCTTATTATTTGCTTGTATAACATGGTTCCGTTTGCATCATGTTTCTTATTGTCTTGTAATACATGGTATCCATTTTGTTACATTTTTAGTATTTGCTTGTAATACATGTTATCCGTTTTGTATCATACTTCGTATTTGCTTTTAATACATGGTTCCGTTTGTATCAGACTTAATATTTGCTTTTAATGCATGTTATCCGTTTGTATCATACTTAGTATATGCTTGTAATACATGTTATCCGTTTGTATCGTACTTATTATTTGCTTTTAATACATGGATCCGTTTGTATCATACTTAGTATTTGCTTGTAATAAATGGTATCCGTTGAAAGCAGCATTGCATCTGTTTATAACGTACAATTAAACATATCATCTGTTCGTATGTTATATGGAATCCCTTTGTAAAGTACACTATCTAACTAACATAGTCTCTGTAACATACAAGGTATCCATTTTGTATCATTCTTAGTATTTGCTTGTAATACCTGGTATCCGTTTGTATCATGCTTATCATTTTCTTGTAATACATGGTATCCGTTTGATGAAAGCATGACATCTGTTTATAAAGTACAATTAAATATAGTATCTACATGTAACTTTTTATGGAATATATTTGTAACTGGCATGGTCTGTGTAACATAAATGCCATCTATTTTGTACATTTTTTTTCTTATTTGATTGTTATATGTAAAGTATCTATAAAGAGCATGGAATCAATTTATAACAAAACACCTGGTATATTTTTATAACGTACATGGCTTGTAACTAGTATGGTACAATTGTATATCATACAGTTGTTATGATTGATATATGAGAGGAGGTTATGAATGTAATGACACCCTGACTACGTTCTAGAAAACTTCACTCTTTTTGTTGAATAGTATATGTATATGTGATAAATTTGGCGACACAATATTCACTTTTTTTCCAAGCAGCATTATAACAATACATGTCAATGTATCTCAGGCCCTGGAAACGAGGTGTTCACTATCAGAAACTAAATCTAACAGTGTTTGTGAAATATTTACCGAGGAAATATTTAATATTTGAATAAGCTATAAATAGACCTATTCTCTAAAGGTAATGTATATCGCATAAAGATTCTTGAAGAATTAGTTTCTTGTTATAAAACTTCGATATTAATAGTCTAAACGTATCAAAAACACGAGGACCGTGTTTCTAAAGCATTGAGACACAAGGATATAAATCAATTTGATCAGGTGTTACTGTATAATAATCTAATTAAATATCAAAATCTCATTTCAATGGCCACTAAAACGTATTGTCTGATATATAAAGTTAAATAAAGTTAACGTCACATTTACTATCATTAGTGTATAATACTACAACAAACACTATATTATTTTTAAGGCGTACTTACATTTTTGGACACCCGTTGGAATAACACATACATGAATACTGTGATAAATAAGGTCATATCGTTCGTTTCGACTACGACATAGCTTCGAATAACTTACAAAAAAAACTTCACTAAGGTACCAGCGTTGCCATAATAGGTTTGTTTGCGGTTCTTGGGGGTCGCCGTACCGCGAAGCCCACCCTAACCTTATCTGGTGGACGGTCACACAGCTACGGAGATCGCTGGCATTCAGTTTAATGTGTTTAGGAAGACAATACCACTGTTGAAATAATTAACCTTATGTTAGATACAAAAGTATGTGTATTGATGTTAGTACGGTCTTCGGCATACTAAAAAGTCTGGATAACTTGACGGAGAAAACAATGTTCAAATTATACATTTCAAATTATTTTCCTACGTTCTGAATTGCATAAGTAATACTAACATGCAATGGATATAAAAAAGGTAAACAGGACTGAAATGTCTTTGGTAAACAATTTAAATTAAGAGACGTAAAGTAGACAATTCATTTAAAAGCCGTCCAAGTCAGTGCTCAGTATGATACATATTCTGATAAACTAAGTGCCCGTTGTTCCAGGAGAGCGGCTCCAAATATACCGTAAATGTCTCTGTGTACGGGTCAGTATGTAATACTAGTGTAAGATAGTCTGATTCCCATATACTAAGTAAAGACGATATATATTAGGTACATGTATACGCATATCTTAGGATTACTAGACTGTAGAAATTGTTTGACATTGTAACTCTGTCCTAAGCGACATTACTTCACAGGAATTTAGAAGCTGCTGATTATTAAAGGGTTGCCAGGATTCAAGAGTCATTTGTTTCAACCCACTTTTTCACATTTTTCTTCACATAAGATTATCGTCATCATCATCATCAGCAGCAGCAGCAGCAGCAGCAGCAGCAGCTATTGACCATAGTAACACTATTCATATAACAAACGCATCAATCTGTGTAAAACATATCATGCTTTTAATTTGTTATACACATCTCCAAAATAATTTGTTGTTTTCGTTCTTATTTCATCTTTTAATTTCCCCTGATTTAATTATTTAAACATTAAGTTTGCATTACTTCAAATAAGTTGGCGGCGCATAGGTTTCCCTATATCTTAAATCATGATCGAATATTCGGCTACCAATACCTAATGTACTCCCCGGCGGCCCATGGCTCTCTGGCCGGCGGTATTATCCCCCGTCCTCCCCAAACCTGTTCAGTCGGTTTGTCAGTGTGTTTGTCAGCCTGGATACTTTTATGAAAAGCAGTTTGATAAGGAACGGTTAGATGGAGGACTTAAGTTTTTCTCGTTTGAACCTCATCTCACAACATTCCATTTAAAAGGAAGTAAAACGGTGCTGTTAATGTGAATAGAATTACACACACAGGATATATGTCTCTGGCGCTGTCAGAGCCTCACACCTGTATCGTGGCAATATACCAATACTAGGTACCGGTCGTAAGGGTTACATAATAGGTTTCAGTAACACTGATTGTGTTTATCAATCAAACCTTAAACATATCGGTCAGATCATTCAGTGTAGAGGGTTGTGCATTAGTGGTAAATATAAACTTAACATGCGCTCCGTTGGAGGCTTATCAATTTTGGCATTATACAAAGATATAGCCCAATGTGTTTCTGGCAAGAAGTAGAACACATGTCAATGTATATAGCCTTTATGGTTTTTAAATGAAAATGATAAAAGGCCATTTAAAAATCATAACTTATTTATTAAGTAGCAATCCAGTCGCTATGCGAAGCATGGTAATGTAGATTGTTTTAAAACGATCAGAAAATTTGAATAAGCACAGAGTTAATCACTTAAGAAAGATCCATTCTCGTGTGTTGTCACTGCCCGGAACACGCATGATTTACCGCAGCCGATTCTAACATTATTATGTGCAGTTGTTTTCTATTCCTTTATCTATTTTCATTGGTTTATTCATTTATTTGTATTTATTTATCTTGTTTTTCTACAGACATAATCATATTTGTATTCATATAATTTCAAAACAATCAAAATTGTTTATATTTTATTTTAACCAAGTGTGTGTTATTTCTGATATAGAATAATTCACAGGTTTTTTTTCAACCTTCATACCCTTAAGCCGCGGAAGCGCCGCATGGGTGTGAACACTTTGTCCACTTCCGGTGCTTCCCCGTGCTTAAAAAAGCCTTCTGGGAAATTGAGGTCGCATCATATCTACAAAAAATATGATAGTAAACCCCTACGGCATCCGTATTTATATAATTTTACTATTGAAAAATCAAGAATACTCCATTTGATAAAGCAAAAACTATCCTCAGGGCAATAAATGCAATATCAAATCGTCACATGTAAAGACATCACTCTTAGTAATGTCCAATCAGAACGGTACATTTTATTCACTGCGTAGATTTTCAGTTTCAAGTTTAGATGAAGCGACGACAGAACACGTTGTTGTGTGGTTCCACCTTTGCAACATACATGCACATTTTGGTGTTTACATTTTTACATAACTAAACAATTATTATCATATTTGTTGAGGCAGCAAACGGCATATCGTAGTGCAAAACCCATTTAAAATGATGCTCTGTATTGTTGTAAAGCGTGACGTCATTGAAACCTGGCGTTAAAATGTATGCTACAAATTCCCGCGCTTTTCTGATGTAGCAATATTTGCTTCGCGTGACGTGAAAAAATGTTCTGGATAGAATATTTAATCGTTTTCCCGTAGAACAATGATATAAATATATTTCGAATTTCAATATGTGAAAACAACAAAACAACCAGCGCTGTGGCTAAACTCTTCGAAGCAAACTCGCGATGAAATAACGATGTAATCACTTCTTTGACAAGTATCCTCTACCAGATATTAATATTTTTTATTCAAAGAAGGGCTTAGTTTGACGCTTAAACTAAGAAGACAGTTGATATTTTATCCAAAGGTAAATTGTCAAAAGAATTATTGGTAAAAGAATACAGGATCTAAATACGAGAAGTCATATATACATGTATGTAAAAAAATCGCTTTTCAAGCGCCATATACATCATTTAAATAATTGAAAGATAAAAAATTAAAAATTAAATGTTTGATACAGAACTAATGAGGAAGTACTCATTATGCATCATCGAAAGCGCCAATGATTAATTTCTACAGACGTATACTGTTCGGCACATTTGTCTGGTTGGATCCCGAGTGTCATGATATTTCCGTTAAATCCAGGCAAGAATGTTCACCAACAGCGATCTGATACTCTGTTAATAAGGCTTAAATCGCGACAGGCACTTGAAGATAATTGCTGGAGAATTAGGTAAAGATGGCAAATGTTAAAAGGACACATCTATCCAGAAAAGCCTCTTTCTTAGAACAGGCTCTGGGAACGAAATATCTTTGATATGCAAATACCATAAGATGGGGCTGAGATGGTTACTGTTATTCGGAACACCTCGGCCGATTCACTTCGGTCTTTGATAAAAGGGACTGTAATCGGGGCGAGGTTTTCCGAATGATGTTACTGTACTACATACTAAGAAAGGAAAGTTAACGATCGTTTAATATAAAATCGTTACGGTTTTTATAGTGAGGAGATATATGTGTCTATATAACGGTGTCTTCTTTCTGCTTTAGACAAGAACATGAAATATAGATACGAAAGGTCATCACGGTCAGGTAAAAAAAAAAACGAACATTTTCGATAGTAGGAGAAATACTGAAGGGTATAATACATAAAATGACTTGAGACGGCTTCCTGTTTAATAAACCTATTTGTTTATATATATATTGTGTTGAAATTTATTATCGATGGGAATTTCGTCTATTTGTAGGCTACGCGGATTGAAGTTTTTAGTGAAAAAGTTAGGATTCTGTATAGTTCATTATTTTAAACATTTAGTACGTTTCTATATTCTGTTCGATTCGCGGGGTTTCTCTGTGATATACACGGATAGGGTGTCCCAAATACTAAGTATATAGACAAGCCAAAGAAATAACTATACACGATATAGGTACTACATGTATGTGTACGTTTAACCGATTATAAGTACTAAGGTGTTCAGCCTTGTGCAGGTGTAATGGTTACATGTACTATCATATACATCATCAAATGTTAAAACATCAACATCGTGTTCCTCTCTCATCAGAAGCTTTCTTTAAACATCTTAGTACAGTTGATAGCTCTAGTATGCTTTGTTTTTAAAATGGTTTCGGATTTGAACTACTTACAAATCACCTGCGCATGTTTATTGTGTACAAATGATGATACAAGTAAACAGAAATCACGTGTAGCATATCATATGGGCAGCAACGATTCTCATTTTTTTCCTGGTTTGTTTCATTAGCAGGACAATAAATGTCACTCAAAAATTGATTTTGCAAATATGAAGTTCGTTTTCCTAAGAAGAATCTCGTTATAAAAAATCGAAAATAAAACCACAATTGGAGGCCGATACCTGAAAGTATCAAATCAATTTGCTATATATATAGAATACGGCGGTACAGCGTATTATAAAACTCTTTGATCTGGCGTTAATTGGGTAAAATCTAGGACAACTTACCTGTAATTGACACGTGACCTGCCATTTAACTGCGGTAACTAGTACTGTGGTATCTTGTGATGGCGCACTATACATATCAGCATGTTAATTAAAAGAAATGTACCCTCTGCATGGAAACGCTCTTAGAACTTAAACATGTTACTGATCCACTTTCACTGTAATTTGGTATCCTTTGCCCCGCTGAAATGTTATAGAAGTCCATCGTTTTGTAACTGTGAACATTGTTATTGAAGTCCGTATGTCGTGAAAACACATCATTTGTGTTCAATCAGTGTATATAAATCCGTTAACATTTGATTTTGGTACTGTTTTCATTAGATCCATTTAACAACCCATCCAAAACATATTTGACTTAAATGAACGTTAAGGAATTTGTTTGTTTTCAGATATCACACGCCGTGAATGTTAGGTGAACAATGTGAAATGATATGTGAGTGTAGTGAGAAGCTGGGCTAACAGGTAAAACAACAACGTATGATATCGATCTGTTGTACAGCAAGCATTCTTATCGAATCAAACAGACATGTATGGTCAGCTTGACTAACCTAAATATACGTTTTCTGTGCGTCGTATTTGAATTTTTAATTATCCACAGTTTACGAGCATGATAATTTGTTATTGCAGCAAGATAGGAATTCAACATATGGAAAATTCAACCAATATAAAGTATTTTGTACAATTGATACATCAATGTGTAAAATGAATGAAACGTAACGGGCATGAAACGACATTGACTTGGGTGTGTATGAAACCTGATAATTTTGATACAAGAGTGCGCATATTGTGATACATATACTACATATGTTTTGCCTACAACAACTTATTGCTCGTTGAATAATGGTGTTGTATCACCTGTCTATTTCGACAAGGTACAACACTACAAAATGAAAGATGTCAACACATTTGTTATTTTAGCTCTAGTTATCGACCGGAAGAGGACTTTGTAATTCTATACTTGGGTCTGTACCAGTCGTATTGATTGAAGGATTACTACTTCAACTGCCGAGGAAGGAACTTTCGTGGATAGGACAAAAGACCAGTATTTAGAATGTAGTCGGATTTGTTGTGTTACACATGTACCTGAGACTTGTGCAGTAGGTCCTCCATTTAAGTTATCTTGCTTTTCTCGTTCCGAACATCTATTCCATATATTCCAACTATTACACGAAATTTCCGGATTAGCACTTTTTCCGGATAGTGTTTTCCGTAACATGCCAAATGTCAAATACAGTATGCTACAAGTACCTATTGAAGTAACTCATACTTGTTTCGGGTAAGAATTAGTTCAATGTCATGTTTGTGTAATTCTTGTCTTTCAAAATAATATACACTTAACAATAATCAATCAAATTAGCGGAAAGTCATAAACATATGGAACCTAGCTAGCCTGGGTGATTGCATGCCTAAATCAATTTCTCAGGGCGATTTTATATTATTATTGTTTGACTTATCATCAATGTTATTTAGCATAGATATTTAATGACAAAAGATACCTAAAACAACACAATGCGGGAACGTATTTAATCATAGGTTTTGACTAGTACATGAACAAGATATTCCTGACATTTGGACATTAGTATATCAGCGAGACAGGTACTGTCGACGTACTTCAAACAGAATCGTGGTCAGTTAAGATGCACTTGGTCGTGTCAGAATTATTGAGCACATTCACAGCTGTGGACAACAGTAACCGAAATAGTTAAATACTTAAATGTTGGTAATTCACAAAGTGGTAAAACAGTGAACGATAGTGACAGTTTCTAATAATCAAACAATTGAGATATTATAAAGACGAACAATATGTCCCTTAAATATCTTACACACAAGCTAATAAAGTTATGCAACCAAAGTTATAGCATTGTTGATAAGCCGACCAGGTGATACGACCATAAGTAATCCTCTTTATCCACTTATCGCTACGTCCTTCTATGGAGTTACGTTTCACAACAGGTGTAGGGTTTGGATATATAAATGATTCCTTCTGAATGTAGAAAATAACTATTAAAAATTATTCAATCCAGCGAGTCATATTTGCATACATAAGTTCACATTCCTCAGAAATGATAATTGTAGTACAGAAACATTACTGTACGAGTTTTCGACTACAGCAGGTATAGAGTATTGGCTTATGACAACAACAGAATGTCAATTAGCAGGATAGTCTTTAAATGAACGCTACTAGTAGTCTTCCGTATCTTGTACGACGATGCTAGGGACAGATGCCTGCATACCCATCTGACCAATGGAAATTTGGTCTTCAGCTCCGTAGCGAACAGCTTGTTCGAGTTTCACCGTGGATCCATTTTCGGAACTTTCTCCCACTCCAGCCGAGGAAAGATTCATTATCTGAAGAAAAACAAAAGAGGTCCCTAAGAATATTTCATGATAAGGTTCATTTTCATCCTTCTTCTGTTCTTTTTTTCGCAGGATAATTCTTTAAATACGAGGTGATTATCGTTTAAGCTGCTGATTTTGCATACATAATTTTCTTTAATCATTTCGAAAGACAGATAACATCGTTAATGTCAACAGCTGTTTCAACGCTAGTGTTCCTTTTTTTCTTTTGAAATAGACCGAGTTAAAAGCTAAAGTAGATTACGTATCGTATATACAGATTGACCATTTTCTATTCAAAACAAAATACTTCTTAACTAACATAGACATTAGCGGAATTCGAGACCAAAAATTAAGTAAATATGAAGGTGTGTGTATAATGACGACATGACCCTCTTCGATGAAAACCTTAATAAAAATACTGCTTGAGCTTATTAAGACTTAAGTATAGCTGTAAGAATAAATATATCAACTGTACATACACTGAAATACTTACCCATTTGTAGAATGTACCTGCTCCAGCACTGGCCGTAGTCACAGCCTCCTTGTCATAAGGCGTAATAAGGTTCATTGCCTTCGTGATTGTCTTTTTATCAATATTGTCATAATTCAGCTTCCGTATCCGGGCTAGGAGGCTGTCTCTTCCGGCTCGCCTCATTAACGTCTGTAGGTAATCCCAGTACTACAACATGACGTGATATAGGTTAGTACATATATCTTTTCTATTTTTTTTATTAGCATCAGAAACTGTAATATTGCCGCTTTGTGATCCAGTAGTTTGATAAAACCTGAAGACTGTAATGATGATAAAGTTGAAAAAACTGTCACTGTACTAACACATATTCCAACTAAACTGTAGAAACTGTGAACTGTTTGGGGTTGAAATTCGTGATACGCCAAAGGTCAAATTTGCCATGACACATAACAGTTGCGCCATTCATTAAAAGACATGCAAACGCTAACCCTTTATTCAGGGATACTCGATTTTGCGTACAACTTTCGAAAATCATTTGAATAACAGTGTAATGAGTTGTCAATGCATGATTGCTGAAGTTTAACACAAGACTATAAGGATTCATAAAGAGATCTGAGGCTTGTTCCATTAGCTGCTTTTAACCAATAACAACATCAAACCTCTAAAGTGTCGCCTGTCTCCCCAAGAAGCAGGAAGGTTGCCTTCATAATGTCGTAGATGATGTCTTTAGGAACTTGGTACCGGTGTATCTCAGAGATTGTCGACTGCTTCATCGCCAAAACATCGTGGGTATACTTCTTGAGCTTACGGAGTTTTTCGAGAATCTCAGTGGCCTCGGCTATTTTGACCTGGAGGTTATTTCTGTGACTAGACGCGCTGGCTTTACCTATGGCATCCTCCAATAACTCGATATTCTCTCGGAGAATGGCGGTCTTCAGGCCTGCAGATAACAAAGACAGAAACAAGTGCGTAGAATATTTCATCATAATTAGATATTGTTTAAAACCGTCCGCTATCGTACGTATTGTTGTATTCAAGTATTATTTTACACCTATTCAAAAGTTGCAGCTTGATATATTACATGTATGCGGAACTCATGCCTGCTATGTATAACCTCTTTCGACATACGTAAGAAAGAGGCTGTTATCAAATTTCAATAAGACTTTTGCAAAACTCGCAGCTTGTTATATAGTTCCTATATACGGAACTCGGACCAGGACCAGTATCATTACAATAATTACTTTTATTGAGAATTTATGTATAATTTACTTTTTTCACCTCAACCATAATGGTTAATGTTATTTAAATGTCCATGCTCTTGTCAGAATTTGTTAGACCCTATTGAGCTGACAGCAGAGGATTTTTTAAGTCCCACAGTCAGAATAAAATCTGTGTATCTGTGTATTGTATGGTTCCAACCGTGCATTGTTGAGGTCATAAGAACTCGAACCTGTACTAAACCTGTATGAAATCGCACTTTCTCATAAAAATTCGAACCTGTACTAAACCTGTATGAAACCGCACTCTCTCATAGAAATTCGAACCTGTACTAAACCTGTATGACGTCGTACTTACCTTTTTGTAATCGTAAGAACTCAATCCTATACTGAGCCTGTTGTACAATACCAGTAGTGTCCTCTACATCTAGGGAGTTGAACTTGTCTAGTGCCTTCTGTATCGCTACGGAGTCTGTGGAGGTCAACAGGGCTTGGAGAGTATCCCGTGCCTTCTTCTCCAATGGGTTCTGTACGAGTATTTTATCAATAAACGCTTAAAGGTGCATGCTACCAAAATCATTGTGTCTGTGGTTTGTAATAGAGTTACATGCACATGTCTTTAACAAAAGGTATGCTTACTGCATATAACCTACCTTAATGTTTCATTGTGCTGAACTCTTTTGCTAAATGGATTCCTATCACAATGAGGTAGAACACACGTGTAACCTCAATACGTCCCAGATTTAAATTACCGATTGTATAACTGATATGTACATTGTTTACATTAAACCACCTCGCGTTTAATAGACCTATTACTGGTGATTGGATACAGTCAACAACAAATGTACTCCGATACCATTTAAACAGGCTTTATCAGTCTGGTGGTGGTACATGTATGCCTTTGGCGAATTTAAAGCAATAAAAATAAACAATTTAAAACATTTGCCAAAATAAATAATGTTAGAATTAAGCAATTTACATATCACACTTTAACTGACACTAAATTAATTGAGTAACACGAAGTACTAAAAAATAAACCCCTTACATTTGCATGGTTCCTTGGTGTAACTCTAGAAAGCAAATGCCCATCCGCCTTGCTATCATATTGAACACATCTACTGTCTATCCACTCATTTCATAAACGATATAATTGATTACGCATCAATATTCATCAAAGTCATACCTCATTTTACTACTACTTTTACTGTCTATAAGGATACCTAAAATTGTATTTCGATTTTTTGTTTCTCTAAAAGCATCCGCTGATGAAAACTTGCTCATTTTTTTCTCGTAAGCTATCACCGTATATGTTGCTTAATGCAACTTTGATAGACGAATTTGATTATTCTTTGAACGACTCGACAAGAGTGATATCATGCGATGCGATATGATATGAAATTACGTTGAATATTCATTGATGAGGCTTTTGTTATCTACTTAATAAGAAGTAGTCCAGTCATTATGAGAAAACAAATCCCTCATATGAAACTAACCGTAGCAACTTGTTTTGGATTTTATTTGTTGCAATAAATAATGGCGTGATCATATATGCCAATTACATATCTTGTCATTGTATTTTTATTGAAATAAATGAAAGTAACATCTTTACGCATTTTGAATGACGGAACAAATATTATATAGAGAGATTAAATCTAGACTGTACCTCGTACTCCCGCTGTTTCTTGCTCGGGTCCTCCGATGACAGCAAATAGTTACAGACGTTTTTACTCGGTCCGTCCGTGTTCTTGTCCTTAGCGTTGACCTGCAGGGCGTATTCCCCGTTCTTTGGAACACTGACATGTAACGTGAGAGTGTTTGATGTCACCTTCTGGACAATGTGCTCCTTCAGCTCCTCGCTGGGTATAATATTATGTACAAGCGATGCGTTTACATCCACAGGTTTGGTGAGGTTGAATATCATCTCTACGGACTGTCTGCCACGTATCCCCACTACCCCTTTGTTGTGAGTTTCGGGTTCTAGACCCGCCTCTTTCGTCTCTTGTGTAGGACCAAATCCCAATTCTGTGTTAATCGGGAACGGTTCACAACGCAGTCTAGCTTTGTTACACACAATTTTAAAGAAACAAATCCATTCCTGGTCAGAATCAAGCACCGTTAACTTATAAATTCCTTTTACGGGAAATCTCATATCGAACATTGTCTTATCTTTTTCATTCATGATGGCTACATATTTGTCTAGTTGTATATCTGCTGGTATCTGATCTTCAGACTCTTTATGATTGAAGAAGAGTGCGTAGGTGAGCGTGACCGGGTCTGCACCGGCCAAAGTTCTTAAAGCAATACTACATTTGCCTTCGCGCGTCTGAACAATACCTCCGGTTTTACTGGTCACTTGTAGCTGACGAATGAAGTAGGCCGGCCGGAATAAGGGGTAACTAATGAACTTTCGCTTGGACAAGGGCATCTGTATCAGCTGCCAGCTTTCGTTGTCAGGAAAACAACGATAAATGAAATCGCTAGGGTCTGTCAGGAAATAGTAATCGTTGACAGTCGCTATGGTAACACCGACAGACTCCTCCTCTTTCTGACGAACAGCCTGACCTGCATAAGGTATAGTTTCGTACAATACTTCTGACCCCATTGTACTTGTTAATAATGCTTGAAATTTTAAATAGACCTAACGAAATGGATCATTGTGCGATAGTTATGGATATGTAGCAATTATTCGATGTGTCACTCTTATATTTTTCTGTAACCTAAAATATACTGTGATATATTCAGATAACGCAAAAGTTGCAAGAAAATTACAGAAGTGTTTTCGATAATGCATCGGTGTCTTATAGCTGTACAATGTACGTTACGGGGACTTTACATACAAAACGTAGACGGGAGATTCGAATTTGGTTTGTTAATTCAGAATTACATGATAATTAATAAACACATTTTAATTTCCTTTCAAATATGCCACAAATTAATTACAAAATCACTACTCATTAAATATATTTTACATTTTTTTTTAATATATCGAACTTTTTGGAAGAAAGTCGCACGCCAAAATAAAGTAGAATGTAGCTTTAATTAAACCTTTAAATGAATGGATAGAAATACACAACCTTTGGTCTCCACAAGAGTCCATGCCCCCGTGCTCTTGCCTACTACTGCTGACATGGCCCAAAGTGGAAACACGATTCGCCAACCCTTCGCCACATACACAGCGTTCCACGTGTTTCTGAGCCCGTCTACATCCTGGTCTCCCACTTCGTACAGTGCAGACTTAGCGAAACCATTGATGATCACACATGGGACTTTCGCCGCCCTGAAAATAACATTAAGTGTCAATTGTGCGTAGACCCTTGAGTATTTCAGACAGAAAGGAACAAACAGAAACGCCATATACATGTATTTATTATACTCTATTACTGATGTGACGTATTCTGATTGGAATCATAATGTTATAATCAGTTGAAACATGTTACTTTGCTCCATATTATATAGTATACGTTCAGAAATACTATTTATACATTATGACCATTAGGAATGACACTTTATACCACAATACGCTGTGTTATTCCACTCTCAGATCATTGTATAAACACGCAGACTGTTAGATAAATATGAGTTATATACCACACGTGGTATATGACCTTCAATAGTTTTGATTGGTCAAGAAGATGAACTTTGACCGGGAAGATTTTTTCCATGGGCTTTTTGCCACCTGCTGTTTTGTTTACGTCGTCGGCTGTCAACATCCGACAAATGTTGGTGACTTTGTGAGGTTATGCGGAAAAGGGGGTTATTAAGGAAATATTAAAAGATGATACTTAAAGATTTGATCGCTAGTTTCAGGCAAAATTGCTGCAGACGCTCAATATCGTTTCGACGTCACACCGTCGCGTGTCCAGGTCGTGAAACCAAAACAAGATCGATCTGTCACAGTGTCGGGAAATATTTCGTTCTCCCAACGTCCCGTTATCGCTATTTAGACGGTCTGACTATGACTGAACTTTCACTATAAACGTCAACCATTTACTACTCTCAATATTCAAAGTCGTTCATCTATTTTATTTTTTCATTAAGTTGTTGCCGAAACATTAATTTTGACAATAATTAAATTTGTAAAACAAAGTCATTTTTGAATATTAATGAGTGACTTTTTACATATGGGTCATATCACTACGCCAGCCTTGTCAACAAACACATGCGTGTATGTTATTTCCGACTGATCATGAGATTGTGGTAGAAACAGATCACACGGCTCTTGGTTGTTGAGTATGGTATTTATTTCACTCTCGTTAGTTAATTTTCAAAAATTACAGAAAGACACTCGCTAAAGCTCGTGTCTTTTGTAACTTTTGAAAATTAACTAACTCGAGTGAAATAAATACCATATTCAACAACCACTCGTTGTGTAACCTCTATTTATATACCTTAATCTTCCTGCACTTACCTGCACATGATTGTAAACATTACAGAATGAGATATTTGGTTGACAGACATGAGTTTGAGGTGTCCGAGGGGCGAGTCTGGGTTCACATTATTAGGAATCACGTGTTGGTCTTTGTTGGAAGCAATCCACATAAATATAGCCCTGGCCTTCAGCACGTCGTTCCCCTTGAAAGGCTCCACCAACTTTTTTACAAGGTCTGGCATCGTGGTCGCTGACTCGGGACTGACCTTCAATTAAAATAAACAAAGATAAAACCTCAACAGATATACATTTGTCTTAACTACTTACTATTTGTTTCTTTATATTACATGGTATATTTGGCTACTTTTGCTGGAAGTATTGTATAAGATAGACAGGAGATCAATCAATACTTTTTTTTAATAAATGAGTCCTCTTCTGTATCTGTATCTGTATATATATCAGAAAGCTCCCTTTTAATTCTATGCTATGTATTCTTCCTGGATGAAAGTGATGACGTAGATGATGGACAGGTACTGACATGTAATTAACACAAGTTAAGAAAAGGCTAGTGGAATGGCGAGTAGAAATAAATACACTAGCTTCAAATTCAAAGACAATTCGCGACTCAAATATGATATGAAAAGATAACAGGAACCGAAAAAACACCAAAATAAAAAGAATGAAAAATTGAACACATCTAAATAGAGGCCAAAATAAGTGTTCCAAAAGAACATGTATCATAAGGTGGACCCCTTATTATATTAGAATGTGTATACAATATAAACGTATATATTATGACAATTTATGTGTATTATCTTTATATTGGAAAACTTAAATTAAGGATATCAGCATACACTTTACGCTATTGATAGCTATGAGTTTGTAATAATTCTCTACCTAGGAACCCTCTGTATAAGTTGGTAAAGATAAACACTAACAATACCTTTTATTGCACCAGGGCTCTTACCGACTTGGCATGGTTGTCTGCAGCTTTCGTGTCCAAATCTTTTAATATGTCAGCTTTTTTGTTTGGAGGAGGTTTTGGCAACGGGTAATCTTTGATGAAATCTGGTATGTCCGCCTGGAAGAAACAATAGTAGTTTGAATGATACAATAAATTTGTCCAAACATGACGAAGCATCACATGTATATTCAGTAAAATTAATTGTTTTTCATATGTTCTGGTCCTTTACCGGTTGTGTTCATTTGTGCAGATTGTGTATCTACGAGTACTTTCAACACCGCCAACGCTTGTTTTTAAAGGTTTTGCTTCTTTGAAGCAACAAAGGTCTTATGAAGACAGCTTCCACAGATGATTTGGCCACACAAAGGTCGCCTTACATAGAGCATATACACAATGTCTTATCCTTGATACTGTAGCATAACACTCCACCAGGTCATATTATTCTGACAACAGGCTACACAAGGGTGACTCAGGAGACACCACCGGAAAAAAAGACTCTGTGATAGATATCATGGAAACATAAGCAATTTATAGAAATGGGACATTTATCCGCCACCAAGTACTGGAACAAGTGTGCAGATGAGGCTGATAAACCACGTATTCGTACCTTGTCCGGCTGTCCCTGTTGCGTCGGAGGTGCTACTATGGGCGGTGCTGGTTGGGTGAGGGGTTGGTCTGTCACCTTAGACGATTTTCCTCCCATGACTTATAAAGCCAGCTTATAAAGGAAACAAACAGATGAAGATATGGCTTATTAATGTATTAAGTGTCATAATTTAAACCAGTCAATACAACACACATTACAGTAGCAAACAGATGGTCGATAACAGATTTTTTTCCCGCAACCACTCTTGGTTTCCTTAATCCCGACTTACTGGATAAACCTGCGAGGAATTAAAAAAAACAGCTTTTGGCTATCCACTAGTGGATAATATCCTGGACATTATTTTCTTTGTCAATCTGTGATGTTAAGTCGATAAACATGGCTTTGCCATGTCATCTTCCATTTCGACGTCATAGATCATTGTATTTGTTTCCCTGATCAGCAACAGGAATAATGTATGCACAAAAGAAATATCTAAGTAAACCTCGTGTCTTTATACAAATTGAAAACTAACCAACTCGTGTAAGATAAACATGATAACCAACCATCACTAGTTGAGGAACTTCTATTATAAAGGAAATGACATAATACAAACGTCAAAAATTAAAACAGTCGATGCATGGTGATGACATCTGGAACAGGACTGTAGAACTATTTACATGTTTCAAAAAGAGATTTAAGACCCTTTGCATTTTTAAGATTCAAACAATGGCCAAAGTAATAAAGAAATCGTAATCCAATTGAATATAAATTAACCATTTAGATGCAATGAGGGCAACCTCTCTTAGCACCTAGCTCTACATTGTAGGACAATATCCACCGATTTATGTTAATGAAGTGTTTACACAATAGTGCAAATTATATTCTCACATGGTTTTTAAACACGTTTTTTTATACAATATATACAGGACTGGTTTAAAGTCCGTATAAATGAAGAATCGTGTTCCCCTATATGTGAAACTGACCAGTAACTCAACAGTAAAGACTATGAGACTTCGCGTACAGTACCAGGGGACTCATGTGTGGTGCCTTTTGCTGATTTTTCTAAGGAAGCTCCAAATAAGGGAAATATGCGGGGAGAAAATTTACATTTACCCGTAATGTGATGAATATAATCAAATCAAACACGTTGTTACAATTTACATGGATGAGGTATACAGACACGTTAGATAGAAAATCAAAATAGGGCTTTCAGTATGCCGCTTTTAATGTGTGCAATGCAGCATCTTTATCAAACATTGCGTTATAATCATCTGTTGAACAATCCGTATAAAATTTCAGATAATCGTAGTGTTTGAATTTGAAAAGCAAAAACGAAAGGCTCAATATTCAGCATCAGATTTAGTTGTCTGCTGAAGTAAAAACAAATCACCTGCATTCCAATGTTGTTCCAAAACTTGGTTGGGCAGACATTAATTTGGTATATTCAATGGGGCTCAATGACGACACCCCAGGTTGTAATACGTTTTGGTGTATTTCCAAATAGAGATTGGATTGAATACAATTAACAAAGTGGATTTGAGTTTAATTGGAGTGTAAAGTATATGCACTGTATACCAATTCATGATTGAAGTTTGAATTTTAAATAAATGTCCAGGCAAGTATATAACGAAAACAGTATTGGTATGTTAATAGGACCAGTACGGGTTCAGATGGTGGGTTTGGTTCGGTTTGGTGGGATTTGTAGGGGCGAGTCAGTATTTGATTACCACCTGTCCTAATATACATAATGTTTATGAAATATGAGCCTGGTGTACTTCTGGTAAAGGGAATTATCTTATTTACCTTAGAATAACCTGTAAGAATTAATGCTAATTAACATCAAAAATTTTAATTTTGCGCTGAAACACGATTCCATAACGGAAAATCAAGTATAGATATTATTATAACTACATCATAGATAAAATATTGGCCAGTGGTAAGCTACTGTCTTGTACTTACCTTATATCCTCTTTATGGACCTTAGCTCTTCCTTGGGTAGTTATCCGAGCCAATTTTTATATGCAAATATCGACATGTTTGGTAAGCGTTACTCTCACTACATGTGCTAGTCCGGAACATTTTGTGTCTGGTTCTACGTTTAGTCGTAGTCTGTACATTTAATGGTCGGACTCGTATGTCACTTCAAAGACTATACAGGTGATACGTATCCAGTTAATTAAACGTGGTATATATGTGCTTCTAATGAACAGTTAGTGTACTCGCCTATACTGGATATCACAGGAGTAGATGTATCGGGTGTCCGCATTGTTTAGCTATCATACTATTGTTAAGTCGCCATATTGTGACCAGTCAGTATTCTATGCGGGGCATAGCGATCTCGGCGATACATCGTTTATATATACACAAATTCGTCGTCTGCTAAATACGTACTGTAATGACTGTCCTTAGTAACGGCAATATCGTGACATCACTGTATGTGTCTTAACGGAGTCTTATCACGGTACTCTGTACCAGTAGATGTTATTTCCACGAGTACCACGATACTTCACTACCAGCCTATGTCATGTTTAATATACCTTCCGACAACCCTTTCCCAGTTCAGGTTTATGTTATTTAGATAACAATATTTCTATCCTGTACAAAGGTAAGATAGGTCGACTGTACCCATTGACATCCCCAACAGAGAAGGATTGCCAGGTTATGAGCCCCTAAGCGAAAGTTGCCGAAAAAATAGATTGAAGAAAAAATCAAAACACTTTGTGCTTCACGTTATTTACAAACAAACTGTTCCTTTTTTGAACAGGTCAGTCAATTTGCAATAATTTCCTGCACTCAACAATGAGAACTTAAATTACATATGGCATATAACCTTAGTTCTGTGACACCACAATGGTAAAAAATTATGGAAATATATTGGGTGAAATGTTTCGAAAATTCTTTCTGTTTTTGCATGTTTTATAAACTTTTTTTTAATTGGCAACAAAATTATTTGTATAGGATAAATGTACTTAGATTTCTTAATCGTAATGCAGGGAATTCTCACAAAATATTTAAGGATACCATATTATTTTGTTCGCTGCTTGAAGAACAATCACGTGGTTTTTATAACTAGCATTCAATAACTCGTATTCTAATCTATAAATAGCTGTATCAGGTCAACATCCTCCTATCTAATTTATGCTGTCCTAATTATTTTATACTTTAATGCATTTTCCCCCATCACTTTTCTTATGCTGCACTCCCATTGCTACTGAAAGTTTGATTTTAGGACCCCAAAACGTTATCAGCACCAGTTCTGATGCCATACCTATACCAATATGTTCTTTGTTAATAATTGGCTTTTAGTTTGGGAAATGGCTAAAACTCATATAAAAAATAATTGTCTTCTAAGTTGGGTGAAAGGAATTTGAAACTTGACCCCAACTGCTCCGAAGCAGAAATCTGATTTGTTTGACCTGGTAAATTAACATGCATGAGCATGACGCTTTCACTCAAACGCTTTGCTGTGTTTCGCTTCTATATTTTGCCCAGGAACATATTTCATTTACAAACTGAAGCGAATGGATTACACACAAGGTATAGCAACACATCATATGCCCTCTCCACAAGATAGATCTATAAATTGACATAGTGCAATATACTGATCAGAATGAATGCTAGATGTTACCTTACATAAAACAAACAAAAATACATATGATACATACTTTCAAAGAAAACGGCCATCACTTCGATTGTGTCATTGTGAACCCGAGACTATAATGAAGCATCTTACTTTATATATGTGATTAATATAATTATACTTTCGATAAATATGTGGCGAAATGTTTATATAATATTTGTTGTTTACTAAATATTGATTTTATCTTTAAAACATGCTTCATTTTTTTAAATTCTCTTATTCCAACTTTCGAATATAATATGAATTAGAGTAAGCGTCTGAGGTTATGAGGTAATTTACTACACTTTTCTATTTTCAATTCCGTGTTTGAAAAAAAAATGTTTAGCGTCCATTAAAATTGATCCAATTGAGGACAATGAAATGGTACATCTGTTCCCGTATGCGTGAAACCGTCCTCATGCTAAAGCATGGATTCCGTGATCAAACCTACTTCTTGTTACTGGATTAATTTCATGTCACACGGTCAAAACGTTTTAATATCGAAAACGGTATCGGGCCCATTTTCTCTCCAAAAATCCTCCAGATCGTTGCCAAAATATATGTATCTTTATGACTTAAACACCGGAATAAAAAAATTGGCTTGAGCACGAAATTTGAGTTTGCACATGAGAACAGTTTTATGAATACGGGACCCGGTCATGGTACATTTGTATCCATTCTATAATTCCAGTAAAGTATTTCTTAGTACGTATAGACATATACCAGTGCGGTCATGTTCCAACGAAATAACCTCAATATAAAAAGTCGTAACAAACAATATCTAAAAGAAACACAAAGTTGTATTATCACATTTTATTATGCAACCGCTTTAAGATGATGATATTGCTTTGACATTTCTTTTTAGTTCTTTGTTGAAAAATATAATGAAATCAAATGCACAGTCTCTTGGACATGTGTGTGTCATCTGCAATCAGAACTCATTTAGTTCAAAGTCTCACTTAAGGAATCGCAATGAAAAAACAAACAAAAACATGGTATTTAATGTTTTATTTGTGTTATGGAATACTGTGACTGTGATGAAGCCCGGTGGTATATCCTACCCCCGGGCACCCTTCCCCACCCCCTACCCTAGTGCAAGTGTTGTGTCAATCATTTCTGATGGTATGTGTTCGGTCTAAGCGAAGTAACTACGGCGTCCAACAGCGAAACCACCATTCTGAAAAAACACATAAGAAGAATAGAATGTTAGAACTAAGAAACTCGTTTAGGGAAACTCGAATGTAAAGAAATAAAATCTCATTGATGACACTAACAGATTATGGTTTAACATTCAAACTTTACAATTAACTGACGAGGGCATACAAATAATAATCGGCCATCACTATTTAGATGATTGTCAGGAAACAGTAAACAAAGACGGCGTGTGACGTCATCCTACATGATCTATTCTTTTACAATACGGGCTAGGTGTAATCTGAAACATTTCGTTCAAGTCGGTTAATATACAATGTATAATGCATACACGTTCATAAGGCATAACCAATAAAAAGCGCTTCATTGTCATCTCGTTCACATTTTTTACACCTTAGTGCGCCTTCACTTTCCGTGTAAATTGTGGTAATCTTCAAGGTGATACAGCAAACATCAGACTGTTCATTGAAACGCCAAACATTCGATGTGAACATTGCACTGGTTGTGATGTATGACCTTGCATACAATTGGCCAGGAATGATGAAACCTTTTAATACGTTACGCGTAATGATGTATTCTGAAAGGACCATAATCCTCAGATCTCTCTACATATATTGTCTACCTGGTTTTATTTATGTACCAATTTATACAGTATGACTATTGATTGCACTGATTTGGTAATATTGAGTGGATGAACTATGACCAACTACAGACTCATAGTATAAGGTCACATATCTACTAGTATCATGCCCTATAGTTTGCATTGTATCTTGAAAACACCCGATAACATATGCTTATGACTATTATGATTTTTTTTTTCTCAATTGAGCTACACTTAACTCAGCGATCCAGTCAAGCCCGCTATATAATGTAACTACATGTACATTCAAAACAAATATTACCCTGCTATATTGAGAAAGTATGAAATTCCCAAATTGGAGATTGAAGGATAAGCTAAGATTTACCCGAAAGACTACAATGTACCAGCTATAAGCTTGATTACGTACCAAACTTTATTAATAATCATTTTAAAGATAAAATCCTTTCTTCGTCTGACGATAATATGTAGAAACAATACATGGCCGAAGTCCGTGATCCTGGTAGCAGACAATGTACCAGCTATGGAACGGAAGTCGACGTTCTAAACTTACTGGTCGACAAACTAAGAAAACTTACCTACCTTTGTTTTATCTGGGTTGATGAATGCTTTGATAGGTTTTATTTTGTTTTGTTTCGAGAGTTTAACTTCGCATTAACAGCTAAGTATGAGTATTATGAATTTTATGACATAAACCAATTGGTAGTGTCTATAATACACCATTTGCTAAGAGGTACCCAGTGTAAGGCCTTATATAAGCAGATATCAGTCGGTAAGCACTTACGATAGTTCCTGTACCGAGGGCGCACTCAGTGGGGAGATTGAACACAGTGTTGCCCGAAAGACCACCCTTAATACCGGTAAAGGCAATGGTGGTAAAGGCATAGGCTGGAAAGATAAATTATTTCAGTGTTAAACTCAAATCGTAGGCTTTAAAGATATCATATTTTAATGTTGATTTTAATGAATATGTTAGAAAGATGTAATATATCAACTTAAGATGTTGTCAAGAAGTAAGCTAGGAAAACGAATAAAGGAATATGTTGAGAAATACCCCAGTAAAAATACCATAATTGTAAACATATACGTATACACGAATCAACATCAATCCGGAACTGCATGCTGTTCCGCTTTACATACTTCCGTTTGTGACACCATAGTAAGTTTCGGCTACAGGGATACAGTTGTCAGTAACTGTCAGGTAAGCGGTGGATCGATCTATCATGAAGGAGTACTGCGTTACATTGACGGCACTGGATCCAACACCCAGAAAACCATGACCGGATACAGTAGCGTTGGCTGGAAATGAAAAGTTATCAGTGAGACGAGGCAACTCACACGAGATATCTGATGAGTTGTGTATATCATCCACAGGCATCTACGGCTGTCATATAAATGTAACACGCGAAGGCAATTGTAACCGCCAGACCGGAATTCGAACCTGGGATCTCCGAGCGATAGACAAACGCTCGAACCAATGAAGAGACCTAGACCAGCACACCAACTACACATGAAATGAATATTACACTGCTACATGTATATTGAAAAAGTATAAAATTTCCAAAACACGACGTGCAGGATTAAATGAATTTTACTCTACATGACTACCAGCTAGAAGCTTGATTATGTAACGAACTGTATTAAGAATCATTTAAAAGTTAAAACCCTTTCTTCGTCTGACGATAAACACGGCCGCAGTCCGTGATCCAGGTAGTAGACAATGTACCAGCTATGGAACGTAAGTCGACGTTCTTAACTTACTGGACAACAAACTTACCTACCTTTGTTTTATCCGTTTTGATGAATGCTTGGGTAGGTTTTGTTTTGTTTCGGTATGCTTATAGAGTTCAACTTTGCAATAACAGCTATTTTTAATTTAGAAATATTTGAGTCCACGTTGAGTATTCTTGCTATGTGGTTTCTCTATGACCACCCAAGTACACATGTGTCTGTTACAAACACGTGTTTTCGTGTGTGTAATGGAGACACGTGTGTGTTTGGTTGGTCAGAGGGAACACACAAATAACACACATAGCAAAAGTACTGAACATGGACTCAAAGAATCAAATGTTGTCTGCATCATTTGCCCATGAAATTGACCAGATAAATAAAAACATTAAGCATTACATAACATAATATATCTAACATCAGTTTACCTGTATACTTCCACAAGCTCCCTTGTGTCTAGAGCCTAATTGTTCCTTTACTAAAGATTCAGTTATTGAAAAGGGATTTTATTTCAAATATCTTATTAAAAAGGTTGCATATTTTTGTTAGATCTTAGTTGAGGCAGTCGTGAAACTCGCATTTTATCGAATTGTCTCAAAACCATCTCAATTCATCACAACAAAAATCGACAAAAGACCCAATATTCAAATGAAACAATTTCGTGACATTATTATGATGGCATTCAACATAACAGAAATACAAATGCATACAATAGTATGTGGATTGCATGGTAAACAAATTTCGTATTGCATCATGGTGCAACTTCCAAAGATAGCCTGTTACCTGGTACACAGCTTCCTGGATCTGCATTTGGTATTTGCTTTGTGCATGTTCCGTTACTCACGGTGTATTGGACATTCTGGAAATTAAAAATGGATTTGACATGCATATAACTGTAATATAGCAAATTAACGTGTAGAGTGATTCTTTGTAAACATACTATGTTAAAGTGTGTCGACTGTTATCGCTGTCGATGTAATGATAGGTTCATTAGATTTAACGCATATATACAGTACAGTGCAATTTACACGACAACAAAATAATCGATAAATGAATAAAGTACACAGTTAATTAAGTTAGAATGTGATAGGTATAGCAGTTGATATCTTAACGTGTTTGCATGCAACAAAAAAAACTGAAAATATTTCTTGTATTAAAAGGGTAGTTTCAATATACTTGGAATTCTTTGCAAAATAAAGGTAATACGTCATTATAGCATTATATCAATTACTATCTTGACGTGTTTGCATGCAACAAAAAAACACCTGGGTGGCTTATCTCAAAAATAGTCCTTGCATTAAATATATAGTTTCAATATACTTGACTTACGTCATTATAGCATGATCATTTCAGCTTCGTAATAGGAAACAATATCGACATAAACGTAACATCCATATCCGTTACTATGGTGAAGAATTTAACAAATATAGCCTTGGTCGATTTAGCCATAATACGCCAGCCTTTATACATTTATGCACATCCTATCAACTAACCTGACTTCGTGGTTGCTTTACTGTACATGGCCTTACTTTATTTATGAACCTTTACTCAGATAGACATTACTTTATCAATAAACCTTTACGCAGATAGACATTACTTTATTTATAAACCTTTACGCAGATAGACATTACTTTATTTATGAACCTTTATTCAGGTAGACATTACTTTATTTATAAACCTTTACTCAGATAGACATTACTTTATCAATAAACCTTTACGCAGATAGCCATTCCTTTATTTATAAACCTTACGCAGATAGACATTGCTTTATTTATGAACCTTTACTCAGATAGTCCTTACTTTATTTATAAACTTTTACTCAGATAGACATTCCTTTATTTATGAACCTTTATTCAGGTAGACATTACTTTATTTTTAAACCTTTACTCAAATACACATTACTTTATTTATAGACATGTTCTCAGATAGACATTACTTTATTTATAAACCTTTACGCAGATAGACATTACTTTATTTATAGACATGTACTCAGAAAGACATTACTTTATTTATAAACCTTTACGCAGATAGACATTACTTTATTTATAGACATGTTCTCAGATAGACATTACTTTATTTATAAACATTTACGCAGATAGACATTAGTTTATTTATAAACCTTTACTCAGATAGTCCTTACTTTATTTATAAACCTTTACTCAGATAGTCCTTACTTTATTTATAAACCTTTACTCAGATAGACCTTACTTTAATTATAAACCTTTACTCAGATAGACATTACTTTATTTATGAACCTTTACTCAGATAGACATTACTTTATTTATAAACCTTTAAACAGATAGACATTACTTTATTTATAAACATTTACGCAGATAGACATTACTTTATTTATAAACCTTTACTCAGATAGACATTACTTTATTTATGAACCTTTACTCAGATAGACATTACTTTATTTATAAACCTTTACGCAGATAGACATTACTTTATTTATAAACATTTACTCAGATAGACATTACTTTATTTATAAACCTTTACTCAGATAGACATTACTTTATTTATAAACCTTTACTCAGATAGACATTACTTTATTTATAAACCTTTACTCAGATAGACATTACTTTATTTATAAACCTTTACTCAGATAGACATTACTTTATTTATAAACCTTTACTCAGATAGACATTACTTTATTTATAAACCTTTACTCAGATAGACATTACTTTATTTATAAACCTTTACTCAGATAGACATTACTTTATTTATAAACCTTTACTCAGATAGACATTACTTTATTTATAAACCTTTACTCAGATAGACATTACTTTATTTATAAACCTTTACTCAGATAGACATTACTTTATTTATAAACCTTTACTCAGATAGACATTACTTTATTTATAAACCTTTACTCAGATAGACATTACTTTATTTATAAACCTTTACGCAGATAGACATTACTTTATTTATAGACATGTACTCAGTTAGACATTACTTTATTTATAAACCTTTACGCAGATAGACCTTACTTTATTTATGAACCTTTACCCAGATAGACATGACTTTATTTATAAACCTTTACGCAGATAGACATTACTTTATTTATGAACCTTTACTCAGATAAATATTACTTTATGTATAGACATGTACTCGGATAGACATTACTTTATTTATAAACCTTTAAACAGATAGACATTACTTTATTTATAAACCTTTACTCAGATAGACCTTACTTTATTTATAAACCTTTACTCAGATAGACATTACTTTATTTATAGACATTTACGCAGATAGACCTTACTTTATTGATAAATCTTTACGCAGATAGACATTACTTTATTGATAAACATTTACGCAGATAGACATTACTTTATTTATAAACCTTTACTCAGATAGACATGACTTTATTTATAAACCTTTACGCAGATAGACATTACTTTATTTATAAACCTTTACTCAGATAGACCTTACTTTATTTATAAACATTTACTCGGATAGACATTACTTTATTTATAGACATTTACTCAGATAGACATTACTTTATTTATAGACATGTACTCGGATAGACATTACTTTATTTATAAACATTTACGCAGATAGACATTACTTTATTTATAAACATTTACTCAGATAGACCTTACTTTATTTATGAACCTTTACTCAGATAGACATTACTTTATTTATAAACATTTACTCAGATAGACATTACTTTATTTATAAACCTTTACTCAGATAGACATTATTTTATTTATGAACCTTTACTCAGATAGACGTTACTTTATTTATGAACCTTTACTCAGATAGACATTACTTTATTTATAGACATTTACTCAGATAGACATTACTTTATTTATGAACCTTTACTCAGATAGACATTACTTTATTTATAAATCTTTACTCAGATAGACATTACTTTATTTATGAACCTTTTCACAGATAGACAGTACTTTGTTTACTGCACCATGTTAAGGCAAAGTACACCACATTCCAGACACAGATTCTTGTATAAAAAGTAAAATGTAGAAAAATAACCTGAGAAAATTTTCAATGAGGAACAATGCTCCTTAAGAGACTACAAGGCATAATAGCAGGACATACCAAGTTGTGTTGAGAGCAAAAAGCAAGCAAGACTGAAGCAACGAGATAACAAAGGGCAATAACTCTTACAGAAAAACACAACTTCCTATCATATTCATAAAGTTTACCAAATACAGATATCAGTTACAATATAAGATGTTATAAACATTTACTCAGATAGACAATAGTTGATTTATAAACATTATTCTTCGATAGCAATTTCTATCTATTAAACGTGACATAGCACTAGCTATAATTATATACATTTGACTTATGTCTTTTGACTTATTAGCACCTTCAACGGCTCCTAAATGAACCAAACGGACATATGTTGCAGTCAAGTATTAATTCTGTTTGACTTTTCGTATAAAAACCTAAATTAATGTATATATAGGTCCCTCGTTATTTCATATGTCAAGTGATTATTCTGTAGGGTATTTTATAAACATTAGCGCTAATAGAGCCCTTAAGTTATTGGTAAACATTACTTTTCTAATTGACACCATTCTATAAATACTTACTCTTACATAGCCATTATTTCATTTATTAACATTTACCTTCAAATTCCAATGGTTAAATCTGCAATTAGGAAACCGCACCCGCTAAAGAGAGGCTCAAAATCGGTCTCTCAACAGAAAAGGCTTTCCATGGGGTGTTAATAATGTACATAATAAACTGCTTTGAGAGGAAGAAAAATTAAAATAGATCTCATATGATAGAAGATTGCTTCGTATTGATGTTTCCTCGAGCGGATTTGACAGTTTCAGTAGAGTTGTCACTTAATAATACATAGAAACAATTTCTCTGACTAAGTGCAATATGAAAATACTTACTCGGGAAGAGGTTTTTTCTTTCTAAACTAGCAGCACATAAACGTGGTTTTACTCTATTACTTACTCTGTTGTAGTCAATTAAAACCTTGACGTTTGATGCATAGCCGTTAGTTTCTGATGTCCCTATCAGGGCTACCCTGCGACTGTCAGCGTCAAAGTTAACCATGTAGCTTGCCTGTAAAAACAAGAAGTTGTCTTTGTCATACACCAAAAATGATAAAATAGAATAAATTTTTATATCGAATTGTGTTTATCGTATTCGCCTTAATTGGAACTCCTTCACTTCAAAAGCGTCCCTCACTCTTTTTCGAGAGGAATTAAAACTATCTACACCCCTTTCCCAGACCCGACCAGGCCCTATCAATGTTCGGTGATTATGGCGGGACTTTCTGTGAAGCTTTCGTGGATGGACAACTTTATTTTCCAACTTCCAGCCACACTGGAATGCTCAAACATGTCATGTCGTTCGATGATAACAACTGGTTGAAACTGTACAACTTTTTCTATCGTAACTCGCATTTTATTACCCTAATAAACGCCCCCTTTAAGCTATTTTAAGCGCCCTGACGCTAATTACGGCGAATATGGTACAATGTACATTGTTATTCATGGTTTATACTCATAAAATATATGCTGATCTTTTCTGTAATTTGATATGTCTTAGGAAGTGCCTTTACTATTATGAAATCATTACTCACGATAAAGGGTAATATTCAAAACATTTAATTTACTTAATTTACGTTTTTTCTGTTTTTGGTTATCATCAATTAATCATTATTACTGAGTAAATGATTCTAGATCATAGAAATGCAAATGTGTAACAAGAAGTACATGATACAAAAACGGATGTCAAATAAGCAAATATTAAGTATTAGTATTAGTTACAAAAATTATTGTTAAATTTTATACATAATATGTAATTTTTACAACTTAATAAACGTATCGTATATATGCTCACTTTTCAGTATATTTGCTATCATTATATATCAAATATCATTTTGAGATAGAAAAGAATAGAAATTATAGAAATTTCCATATGTATAATAATTACGATAGAGCGTCGAACCCCGTTCTAGTTTCATGATTTTTGCGTTTGAAATTACAATTGTCTAACACAGAACCTAGAATGGCATTTTACATTCATTTAAAAAAATCATCTGAAACCGGTACCTTAGTGAGGTATCCCTGGGCTGCTTTTCCATTGGCCATGGACCCGATGACCATCGACTCTGTCCCGTGCCATTGTTTTGGGGTACAGCACGGACCTGCTGCGGATGCCAACACGGCGAAACAGGCTAACACGGCGAGTCGGAGCATTGTGGAGGAAAGACTGTCGGAGAGGACGGCGATCGGAGAATGGCCTAGGTCGCTCTGTCAGTCCCCTATGACATTGTTTAACCTCTTATCTTATCGGACCTTGCGACATCTGATGCAAAGCGATTAGTACTGTAGGATAAACAGGGCCAGGAGACGATGATAAGGCATGTCCATTTGTACGGTCATAAGTCCTACTATGTGTGACACCTTATGTTAGTGTACCATATACTATTCTAGTCCATTCCAATCTTATATAACTGGTTATTTAATTATATACATCTATTGGAAAAAAACACTTTATACTGGGAAATGCTCGTCGAATTTTTCGTCCTCCCCGAAAAGGACGAATTAATCACGAATATAAGTACAAAACCTACCGTATAATACACGTGGAAAGCTTAATTCACACTTGGAGAAAATGGATTTTATCGGCAAAATGCGAATATTTGAAAGTTTCCCGATACTATAAAGCGGTGGTGTCGGGATTTTGTTGTTGTTCTATGTATTTGCCATATCGACACACACAACTTTACTGAAGTTCTTAGAGTTCATTGTTTACTCACAATATTGAACATTGGTGTTCAATACACTGGTTTTTTTTCTTTTATTATTCTATTTTCTTTTCAAAACCATTCCGTATTTTATCTCTCAATCCTAACATGTTCGGCAATATATATTTGAGGTCAAATGAAAAACGATTGTTTCCTTTTGTTTCATTTGTCCTTGCGGAGTTAAAAACAAAACCAAACATGATGGCAACTATAAGGAAAACTCTAGAAGGACTTTGGTAGGACAATCGATAGGGCGCCAAACACAGGTATACTAGTAGGATGATTAATAGGGCGCCAAATACAGTGTACAATGGTAGGACGATCGATAGGGAGCCAAACACAGGTACAATGGTAGGATGATTAATAGGGCCAAATACAGTGTACAATGGTAGGACAATCGATAGGGCGCCAAACACAGGTATAATGGTAGGACGATTGATAGGGCGCCAAACACAGGTACAATGGTACAGTGTAGGACGATAGTACAAACACGGTAGGATGTCAATGATAGGGCGCCAAACACAGGTACAATGGTAGGACGATTGATAGGGCGCCAAACACAGTTACAATGGTACAGTGTAGGACGATAGTACAAACACGGTAGGATGTCAATGATAGGGCGCCAAATACACTTACAATGGTAGGACGATTGGTAGGGCGCCAAACATAGGTACAATGGTAGGACGATTGATAAGGCGCCAAACACAGGTACAATGGTAGGACGATTGGTAGGGCGCCAAACACAGTTACAATATGCTACATGTAGAGATATCACAAATTATAGAAATATTAACGGCACGTAGAGTTACATTGATAACATATTAATGAGCGTTTTAATGAACAGAACAAAAACGACCGAGTGCAATGATAGGGCATCAATTTACAGGTAATGTGATAGATGTTGTTTGGACGTCAAAACACTGGTACATGAGTGCAATTGTATTTGTCGGTGAAAAAAAAGACAATCTATTTATATTTGAAGTAGAATTTGACTGAATAACCATATGTTGTGATTTAGGAATATTATCCTTTATTTCCTCCAGCTGGTATATGACTTCATTTTGAAGGCTTCAGCCTTTTCATTCATAATTTGTACAGAAACAAATCTGCTTGAAAAAGAAAAAATAATATTTTGCGGTTTCTATATTCGCAGTACTGTCATAGGTAAAAGCTAGCCTCGTTCAAACAGCCTCTTGACGATTTCGTGAGGCTAGCTCAAACAGAGAATCTGTTTGTGATATCACAGGAAATTTATAAAAAAAAAACACGAATATTTAAAACAAAAATTATTAACTTTGGTTAACGGAATATATCTTTATGTTTTTAAAGCATCATATCTGACCTTTAACGGCAATTTTAAGAAAATTCAATGATTTTCCCCAACCGCTTAAGATACAGAAATCAATGGAACCCTAACCTATTTCAGGCTTGACATTATACATGTAGCCAGTTCAATGTGGTCCTGTTTGTTAAAGTTGTTGTGATTAAATCATGTCCATGTGCTATATACGTCTTATTTAGGGAATACAATATTTTTCATTCAGAGAACATGTTCAAGTAGCATGCGTTCTTTGTAATGTAAATATTGAAAAAAGTACCCACCTGTTAATGTTTTCTACCATAATTGTAAACAACTCAAAAACGGAAGTAATGCGCCACCTATTGGTATTTTGTCTGCGACCAGAGATGTTTGTTTACAGCGGAATATTATTTGATAATGCCATAGTTCACCTTCCGGTGGATTAGACTTGCTTAGTACCGAATTTGAGTTTGTACCAAACGAAGATAACTCTTGCTGTAAATTAAGGATTAAATCCTGTTTACTTGAGATGTGTATACGTAGGATACATACTCCAAAGGGTAGTGAGGCGAATTTAACATGAACTGCTTTCTGAGATGAAAACAATGGATTACCTTTGTGCAGCGAAACCTCACCCTATCAGGGAGTAACAGTTCCAAATTTGGAAGAGTCTACTTCGATAGTTGACATAGCAAATGGGAATAATTTAACATTTAGGTTTTTTTCCACAGACGTATCATATACTGATAGTCATTTTTAGACGAAAATAATGAGCACACGTGGTCTTTGTGTGGTGTAATTCAGATATGATACAAGTACAGGTTTCATCATAGTTCCTGTTTTCTGTAGGCTTCTTATGAACATGTATGCCACCTTCAACACACTCTCATCGAGTGATAATTAACGTCGATCTATTGACAAACCCATATGACTTTCTGTAGTAAAAAAAAAGTTTCCTGGGTAAAGTCAGCGATGCAGAAACGTGCATTGAGAATCAGAAACTTCAAAAGCAATCCTAAAAAGTTGAAATATAAATTGAAACTAAATTTCAAATATTTTTTTATTAAATAGGAACCTAAAGTCATTAGAGTTTTACATGCCTCGAGATCGTTTCTTAAACATCAAACTGATGTAAAAAATATATAAATCATGCGGATTCCTTTGACTTAATCAAGGAAGGGATTTCGGGGAATCGACATGGATAATTTTTTACACCAGACTGATTAAAAAGTGTGTGAATTCAAAGATGTATTAATACAAGATGTATTTATTTTTTAATTCAGTATTTATTCCGTATGGTTGTGACTCTAGTTGTGAAGGGACAAAATATACCGCAAATGTAACTAGATCTTCTGATATACAAACGCACCGTGGCAAAATGCTGATTATGAGCTTCACATTCAAGATGACGTGTCGTAATATTCATTGATTGTGTACAGAAACTATAGGGCATGTTCGTTTATGCGTAACAACCGTCTTTAAATGTAACAATTTCGGGTATAAATCCTGGCGGACCTGCAAATGTTTTTGAAGGCCTTGTAAGGCTTTGTGAAGGCTTGCCTGAAAGCAGAATCAGATTACTAGGTCCGACCTTATTTAATAAACGAACAACTGTGGTCAGACCGGTTCAACCGTATAAACGAAAACGGCCCCTGCTGGCTCACATTAGTGTTTTTTTTATCTTTATCTAGTCGGTGTCGCTTGTACATGTAACATTGACAGAGTTATCTCGCTTCCCACCTAAGTGACCGTAATGTGATATACTCGTTGTTGCTGTAATACATGTATCTATCCTAGATTTGAACCATTATCACCTAACGCCTCAGTCGATATATCACTAAAGCTCTGTGTGTCTACAGAATATCAAAATCAATCAATACCAATACCTTAATTTCATGTATGCGAATATTGTTGACGTATTCAAATAAGGACTTCACAATTATTTCTTATTCCTTGATCTAAGAATGCAAAATAAAGAGATTTCAGGGATGACTTTTGTAAAATGAAAAACGGAACAAAGCAACTTATATCCATGTGTAGTTGACCTATTGCCACGTGAAATAAAGAAACATGATGTGAACGCATAAAGACAAACTCGGAAATAAAATCCGATACCCATAGCCAACGAAGGGAAGATATCACGAACCCAACAGACATGGAAATTATACCGGATACATGAAACTATTTCCTGTTGGGCCACATGTGGCATCTGTCATTATATTTCAGGTTAACTTCCGTTATCTGCGACAAAGCGTTTTAAAACTACGAGCACAACTGCTCCAATCTTCAAGTGACCCTGAAGGTGGCATTTGTATAATATTACTGTTTATGATTAACTGGTGTTGAGATGACATATACGCTGTATTAAATATACACTAATAAGAGTTGAAACATGGTAAGCTAATGCAATTTCAAATAGACGCAATAGTTATAATTCATATATTAGTCTAAAAACAGGAACGGAATACAAAAGAAATAATATCATATTGACAGGAGGCATGTGCAAGCCAGTGGCTTGGGAGCTCTCTCCCACGAGCCTTACCAAGCCTTCTACCAGTAGTAAGGTGGGAAGACGGGGTTTGGTTGTAACATGCAAAACTATATATACTACCCTTACAAAATAAAGTTCTAGCAGAGGTAAATTTAGGACGAGTCAGGCAGACCTGTTTTAAAGGAGCTCGAGTCAAGTGACTAAACTATGTATTCTGGTTGTGAATGCCAAGTTCTAATAGTCCTGGGGGAAAGAATTAACAATAATAATATACAACATTTGATATAGCGCTCTCTCTCTCTAGCTAGAATAAGCCACTCTAAAGCGCTTACATAAATATACAATTTATACAATCGCTACAATTAGCATATCCATTAATCAATACAAGTATTTCAATATTGGTCCGAATTACTGGAAATCTGCTTCAGTTTCTTTATTTCCGAGACCCATCCAACTGATAGGTTAATATCAAACAATTACATAATGTAGTAAAATGTACATGTACACGTATGTACAAGATATTATGTATACATTTTTTTAATTAATTTTAAATAAAAGTGGAAAGTGAGCTAGCAAAGTACATGTACATAAGTAATTTTCAACGTCAGCCATTGAAATCTCTACGTTTTCTCGCAGCGCAATGTAAATATTTTTCGAAATTGTATAATTCTTTTACATTATTAGTACTCGATAATTTCGTTAACTAAAAA